GTGTTTGTGAATCCGTAAGGTCTGGTGGATTCCTGCCTTCTAGCATCAGTCGATGGGAGGCAAGCTGGCTCTCGGATACGGTGGCAAGCCCTTGCCTGGAGACCCCAGAGCGGGCCCTGCTCCACATGCCTCAGCGAGAGGCAGGGGGAGGCGAAACCTCCCAGAGAGCGGGAGGCTACGTATCTTCCACTCCTCATAATCAGATTCACAACCAATTATGTGGCACATGGTGTGATGAGTATGTGTTTCTGAGTTTGAGTTTATCCGTATGACTTACTGCGTCCTCAAAATGAAATCACATTTGTGTAAGCATGTAGTGCATCATATTGAAAAAATCAAAACTTCATGACATTCGAATTGTCCTGGAGAATCTGGAGTTTGGAGTTCTAGTAGCTATGCTTGGTAATCTGAGAAGTTAAGGAGTGAGCAGCAGGCTTGTTAGCTGTCCGAAGATGAATCGAACGTAGTTTTAGCGCTAGGAAATAAGTTATGAACTCTGGTAACGACCGAGAGAGACGGGATGGCTTCGGGACGAGCTCATGCGAGCGAAGATCCACCCCCGCCTCCGTTATCAGAGCTACTTCAACTTAGTTGGTGAACTGGAAATTAATTTTATACTAATTTGTTCTCGGCTCATGCTTTAATGAGCTTATATTTCTGGGTCTTTAATTTGAAAGTACGTTTGATAAATAATCTATTAAAAAATAAATTGAGACTGAGAATAAATGAGTTTGAAATTTCAGAGGTCAGTAATTAAGATTATTGTCCACTATTTGGGTTTTCTTTGTTTAACCAATACTCAGCTGCCAATGCAACATTTCATATTTCTCTAAAACGAGGCAAAATCTGTGATGTATGATGGGTGACAGATAAAAACCATGATTCTGGGCGCCCTGGGCAGCCTAAACTGATCAGCTCCTGCTCTTTCGCTTTCTGAGTCTTTTCCGCTCTGATGTGCCTGCTGGGCACCCAGGACCGAAATCCCCCCGCTGGGACCCCTCTGGTGCCCTGGGGCATTACGCTCCAGTTACATAACCCCATCATGATTAGGAATTGTTATCACAACTCCCTTAGGTACACAGGTCCACTTATCTAGAGAGAGGGGGCCGTGGAGCCTTTCAAAAGTAATTTCAAGTGGAAACTAAAAAGGCAAGCAAGTTCTGAGTGGGTACCTGATATGGCAGGCTGGCAGGTGTCCCCTGCCACCGTCCCGATGCATTCCTTCCTGAGCCACCTGCTTATTGGAGAGGTCAGACTCACCATGGCTGTGAGTGCCCTGCTCCTGCCCTAGAACCTTCCAGGCAAGCAGAACTAACCCCCGTCCCTGAACTGCCGGCCCCTCCTCCATTGCCTCCCATCTCTGCACATGCTTTCCCTCTGTGAGTGGTTCCCTCTCCTGACTTCGCCCCTGGACATCTAGCCACCCCACTCCTCAGCATTGCCTAGAGGCCAAAAAAGAGCCACGAACTTTCATTGTTTGTAGTCAATATAATCAACAACATAAAAAAATCCAAGATAGGCTACTAAGTTTATACAAACTATAAACTAAGCTGATAAGATGGTCTGATATGGAATAACTTAAAAAAAAAAAAGTTTTCCTTTACATGAAAAATAACCATGTATAAGACGCAATAGAAAAAAGATCCTATTTGTGGTATCAACAAAACTGCCCAATACCTAGGAATAAGCCTGATGAAAGCTTTTCAATGGCAATATGAAAAAAAATCCAAGACTAGACTGAAGGACATAATAACAACCTTATTAATGGAAACATACCATGTACATGAATAGGAAAATTGATCTTGGTAGATTATAACAATGGATTATTATTTTTTTAAAGATTTTATTTATTTATTTGAGAGAGAGCACGAGCAGGGCAGAGGGAGAGGGAGAAGCAGGTCTCCCGCCGAGTCGGGAGCCCGATGCGGAACTCAGTCTCAGGACCCGGGATCATGACCTGAGCCGAAGGCAGACGCTTAACTGACTGAGCCACCCAGGCGCCCGTATTACAATGGATTATTAACCACATTATTAATATAATATAATTTCAATGGATTATTAGAAAGTTTAAAATTTGATTCCAAAATTCAGCTGGAAGAGAAAATAGGCAGCAATATCCTAGAAACATTTGAAGAAAAGAACAGAACCAAAGAAAACCTGCCCTCAACAAGGTTGCCAAGATAGCCCTTTAACAAGTGGCTCTGGATCACCTGCATGTGCACATGCAGAAGAATGAGACTGGACTCCAGCTTCAAGCCATGTACAAAAATTAATTCAGTGTAGATCAATGTGAAATTAATTCAATGTAGATTAATTCAATGTGAATATAAGAGCTAAACTTGTAGAACTCCTAAAAGAAAACATAGGTGGAAATCTTCAGCACCTTGAGATAATGGTTTCTTTGATATGGCACTGAAAACATAAGCAACCAAAGGGAAAAATAGACCTCATCAAAACGATCAACTTTTGTGCTTCAAAAGAGATGCTCGAGAAAAATGAAAGGACAACCCACAGAGAGGGGGAAAATATTTGCAAATCATATATCATAGTATATACCCAAGAAAGCCAAAAATGTGCATCCACACGGGAAGTTGTATGCGGATGTTCATGGCGGCACTATTCACAATTGCCAAAAAGTGGAAACAACCCAAGTTCCCCTCAACTGATGAATGGATAAACAAAATTTGGCATTTCCAGACTGTGTCCTGTTATTCTGCAATAGAAAGGAATGACCCATGCTACAACCTGAATGAGCCTTGTAAACATTATGCTGAGTGAAAGAAGCCAGACACAAAGGGCCACGTTTTGTATGAATCCACTGCCACGGAATGAATGAATAAGCAAATCCACAGAGAGAGGAAGCTGAGGCAGAAGGAGCGGGTCCAGGGAAGTGAGGGCTGATGGGGATGAGGTTCCTCTTCGAAGTGACAAAAATGTTTTGCAGTTAGACAGTGGTGCACCTGTACAACATTCTGAACCCACTAACTGTATGCTTTTAAAGGGTGAATGCTGTGGTATGTGAATTTAATCTTAATCAAAACAGAGAACTTGTTCTATGTGACATCCAAATGTGCGATGGCACAATAGGAACTAAACCGTGTGGCGATCTTGGCATGGAAATGGACAAATGGAGGTTGGTCTCAAGTGGGACAGCTCATGGAGTACAAAAGCAGAGCCGCAGGCATCCCGTATATGACACGTAGCACCTCCAATCACCAGGAAAGGGGAAATGGTGGCAGAGAACAACTGGGTCTCAGTTTGTGGGGGACAGATTCTAACCTCACCACCCTCAAAGAATAAATTTCAGATAGATTAAAGGGCTAAGTATAAGACTATGGAAATAGAAGAAAATAAAGAAGGACATACGTGTGACCTTGAGGAAAGCCACCCTAAGTGGTACATAAAATTCATAAAGAGAAAGATGGAAAATTTGGCTTTATAAGAATGGGAAACTGTACAACCAAAGATATCATAAGTTAAAAAAATCATTTCTCACATAGTAAGCAAAGTATTAATATCCTGTATTTTTGGAGAACTTCTAGAAAAGTCAAAATAACGAGTGTCCAGCGCTCTCATCTCCCTCCTTGAGTTGCCTTTCAGATGGTCCCAGAAGTCTGTCCTCTACTCAGATAATCTCTACAGATAACCTTGACCCCTTTATTGAGGTGTTATAGGATGTCATTGGCTGCTTAATCCCATCCGGTCAGCCCCCTTTCTTTTTTTTTTTTTTTTTAAGATTATTTATTTATTGGTCAGAGAGAGATTGAGAGAGAGCGCGCACGCACAAGCAGGGGGAGTGGCAGGCGGGAGGGGATGCAGGCTCCCCGCTGAGCAAGGAGCCCGACGTGGAACTCGATCCCAGGACCCTGGGATCATGACCTGGGCTGAAGGCAGACTTTTGTTTTGTTTTGTTTTTGTTTTTGTCCTCTAATGGCTGTTCCTCTACCGTTGTGGTTTTTTTTTTATTTTTATTGCTATGTTAATCACCATACATTACATCATTAGTTTTTGATGTAGTGTTCCATGAAGGCAGACGCTTAACCGACTGAGCCACCCAGGTGTCCCAGTCCAGTCCTCTTAGCAAAGTCAAGGTCGTCTTGGGCAGAACAGCTGGCCACCAAGCTCTGCTCCGGGAAAAGTGAGTAAAGGAGCCATGTGCTGTGGTGGATGCAGCGGGGATGGGCTGAAGCCCAATGCCCACTCGCCCTGCTCCTTCCACGCCGCCTCTTCTGCTGCGCCACGTGGCTGGTGTGCACAGGCCACGAAAGAGGCAAATGGAGCCCACTTGGCATTTCTTGCCTGTCAGCCACTTAGTGGGGGCCGCCCTGTAACTCTGTTATGTGGATTCTGGACAGATCTCTGTCTCAGTAAGGAAGGGTCTGTGCTGTGGTTTCTTGTTGCAAGCAGTGACCTTATTCAAGAAGTGGAATTCTGCAGATGTCACACGGGGACTTCTGTCGTAGACCGAAAAGACCTTCTTATTTTTCTTTTCCTGCTGAGAGAGACCGACAGCTCTCGACTGGGCAATTCAGGGCAGTCCCCTCCAGCTGCCATCTCATCTGCTTTTCTGGTTCCAGAAGCCATAGATTTAGGCCACGTTTTGTTACATTTCACAGTGTGCTTAAATAGGCCATGCGGGTCCTCATCTTGTTACAAAAGACAACTTGCAGGAGGGTAAGGTGGTGATGTCCATGTGCTCTGTTCTGCCGCTGGGTTTTGTGAAACACTCCACATCAGAGCTTCCCTGAAGGGTGTCAGAGACAAGAGTGGGACCGGGATGCAGCTTAACACCCCACTCATCATCTCTAAGTAAATCAGACCTTCCTGCCAGAGATCCTGGCCAGGTCACGCTGGGCTTAGCATTAAATATTGACTGGTTCAGTATTTTATGCCAAAAGGGAATCCCATAGCTGAAAGCAGGAGAAGGGGGTCAGAGGCGGTTGGCTTATAGTGAGCGGGCGAGAAGCTACGTGACTGAGCCGACTTTCTCCTCCTTGCAGGGTCACTGTTACTACCACGGACACGTGCAAGGATACTCTGGCTCCACAGCCAGTCTCAGCACTTGCTCTGGCCTCAGGTAAGTGGCCCTCACGGGGCCAGCTCTGGTCTTGAGCATGACCACCACCTCCTCCTTCTCCCATTTGCTCTCAAGGATCAAGAGTAAATGGTGGGGCCTGAGCCTCCACCCGGCGAGACAGAGAATCCCTGCTGGACACCTCGCAGGAGCACATCGCACCCAGGATCTTAGTTTCTCTGCCACGGCAACTCTTTCTAGAAGGTTCTCAGGTCTGGTGGGTTGAGAGCCACTGAACGTGCTGAGTTTCTACATCCAAGGATTTTGTGACGATCTTTCGTTCATGTGGCTCTTGTGCTTAGTAATTCCCGGTGTTAGAAGGTAGGAGCTCAGGTACTAGTGTTCAGGCTGTGTGCTCGTCCGCCGAGCCTCCCCTCATTAGAGGTGAAGCCGAGCAAGCAGCTGAACGGAGATCGAGGTGAGCTGAAGCCAGGCGTGGGGTGTAGGGGCTCCGGCTATGAGGCTGCAGCCTGTGTCAGGAAACAGGTCCGTTCCGTGGCCGGCCGAGCCAGCCCTCACGGCTCGTCCTTCCAGATCACACCAACAGTTGGCTCTCATGTGCTCCCCACGAAAACCAGTTTGTCTGCCCAACTTCCAGCCACCTCCGCCTTTTTACCGGCTTCATTCATTGGGTTGGTGAACCAGCAGCTCTATCCCCCCGTGTCCTGCTTTGCTGGGGCCCCGGGTTCTGTGGGGAGAGGGACGAGGGCCTGGGGGGCGCCAGCGTGAGTGAGACCAGGGCTGCCCTCTGGGTCCCAGGAGCGCCACGTCTCTGGGAGTCCCGCGTGGGGCGCCATACACTCAGGACCCACGGCACCAGCCGCAGACACGATCTGCCACACGCACTACCACGCACACGTCACGCGCACACACACACACACACGCATACACAGGTAGGTCAAGCTCTGCACGTGTGAGGGAAGTGTGGCTACCCGGCGCTCGTCAGGGTGTGAACAGCTGTGGAAGAAGCCAGAAGCCTCACTGAACACTAGCGGAAACGGGCGCTCTCAGATTCACCCTGACACACGGCAGGCGTTTCACGAATACGCTTCAATTAATAACGAGTCCCCGTGGCCGCACCTTATGCACAGCGGCGGTATCTATGATAAGTCCCCAGCGTCACCCGGCCCGCGGAGCCTGGAGAAGCCCCCCGCCCCGGCTGTGGGACGCACCCGGCCAGGGAAATGCCCGTCCCTGCGTGGGGCCGCCACCCCGAGGATGGGGCTCTCCTGCCAGTGCCAGCCGCTCGGGCCCTGCTTCTCGCTCTTGTGGCCCTTGTGTCTGCCCCCTCTCTTCACTTGCGTGTCAGGGGCCCAGAGCAGAGCAGTCCCTCAGTCGTGCCCCCCAGAGCCAGCCCCTTCCACTGCACCCTCCGTCTCCCATCCTGATCCCATTCCCTACCCCCGGGTGCCCTCTATTAACGTGGAACATTCATCCTTCCAGGCTACTGCCCATTGTTCATGACCCAGGTCACCTGCACAATTTACAGATGTCAAGAGAGGGCATCCTGTCTCACTCTGCAATTTGCTTTTGTCTTCAGCACTGTTTTGACATCCATCCTCCTTGGCTCACGTGGGACTGGTTCCTTCCTTTGACAAATAGGCTTGAATTTGCCACATCGTATCTCTTCACAGCCTCCATGATGTGCATTTAGGTGGTTTCCTGCTTTTCTCAATTGCAGACCACACTGGTTGTGCCAGGGGCCTCAGGGGGTCTGTGCCTCTGTGCACAGGGCCCGGCGGGGGGCAGGGGGGCTGGCGGGGGATGGGAAGAGCAGATGCCGTGCGGAGGCAGAAGGGCCTTCACTTTTACCAGCAACAGTCCTGCCACTTTGTTCTTCCAAGTGCCTGTCCTAGTTCCCACGCTGGCCATCAGAGCTGAGAGTTCTCTCTCCTCACATCCTCCCCAATCCCTGACATATCTGGTGTATTTTCAATGTTTACCACTGGAATCCAGCAAATTGTACAAAAAAGCTAACCATCCCCCATCCACCCTCTTCCACTCCACTCAGGTAAAACATGGCAGCAGCATGGGGTACCTCTCCCAGCTTTCCCCTCATCCTGTGCAGGCAAAGCCCGGTGCATGTGTGTGTTTCTCTATTTTTATAAAAATAGGTCACATCTTCCCCTTACTCTACCCTGGTCTTTCTGTCTCTGCAAGTCAGGACACAGAAACTTAAATCTCTGGTTCACCCCATTGAGTGTGTACACACACATATCTCTGCACACTATTGCTTTCATAAAGCATTTTTGATACACCATTTATAGGATGTTATTGAACTTTGAAACATCTGCTAATCTGACATGTGAGCAGAGTTATCTTGTTGCCGTTGCATTGGCTGCTCTCCTGTTGTTAATCGTTCCTTCAGCAGACATTCCTCGAGTACTTCCTCAGTGTGGGCACTGAAGGAGGTGAAGTGAGCCGTGCGGACGTCTGCAGGAAGCACATTCCTGGCAGAGGGAACAGCATGTGCTAAGCCCCTGACGCAGGAAAATGCCCGGGTTGGCAGAGCAGCAAGGTGGCTGGTGTGGCTGAGGCAGAGGAGGGAGAAGAGGCAGGGGAAGCTGAGGTCAGAGGAGAAGGAGAAGGGCCTTGGCCTCTCCCCTGTCTGTGACGGGGGTCACGGGAACTTCGTGCTGCGGTCTGACTTAACGTTCACACGGGTCACTCTGGCGGCTGGGCTGAAAACAGACTGTAAGGGGAGCATGTAGAGGGGCAGAGCTCCACTGGACTCCTTCCCAGGGATGCTGCCGAGCGACGGGAGCCCGGGCAGAGCTGGCACCTGTAGACAAGCAAGAGTCCAGAAACTTCTTCAAGGGCTTGGAGAGGCTCATGCCTCTGGCATCTGCATAAGCCTCTGACCATTTCCTTCTCCACTGAAAGTGCTCTGTGTCTGAGACTCGCTGTCCCGAGGTAGTGTGGGGCACAAATACACGAAGGCACCAAGCTCCTGCTACCGAGGAAGCCATGGGAAAGCCCCTCACGAGGTAGGGCCTCCCAGACGCAAGCGAGCCCGGCAGGCATGCTGGGTGCTGGGAGGAGGGCAGCGTTTGCAAGTGACGAGATGCAGAGAGAGGACCGCCGCTCCCCGGGGACCGAGGTGCGCGAGGGAGGGACTTGGAACGATGAAGTGTCTTCTCGAAAGGCTGTCGGGGGCAGGGGTCAGCAGGGTGAGCTGGGTTTCAGCTGGAGCGAGGAGGGAAGGTCAGGGGGAGGGTAGTTGGAGGACGGACCGTGAGTCCCAAGAGCACAGTGGGAAGGTGAGGGGGTGAGGGGAGGAGTGAGAATGGGGTCAGTTAGAGGATTAAAGAGCTGTGTGGAGACAGGGCCCCATCTTGATGGAAAAACCAGAGCTTGGGCTCCTGGGGGAGACAGAGGCAAACAGAGATGAAGGACAGGATGGGGTCAGACCTGATGGCGTCTGGGACGGAGGGGAGGGACGGAGGGGAGTTCACGATGGATGATCTGGGGCCAACAGTAGATGTTTCCACCCTGGAGCACAACAGCCCTAGCAGTGAACCAGCACCGTGAACTAGCTGTCTCCACACAGCTCCTCAATCCTCTAACTGACCCCATTCTCACTCCTCCCCTCACCCCCTCACCTTCCCACTGTGCTCTTGGGACTCACGGTCCGTCCTCCAACTACCCTCCCCCTGACCTTCCCTCCTCGCCCCAGCTGAAACCCAGCTCACCCTGCTGACCCCTGCCCCCGACAGCCTTTCGAAAAGACACTTCATCGTTCCAAGTCCCTCCCTCGTGCACCTCGGTCCCCGGGGAGCGGCGGTCCTCTCTCTGCATCTCGTCACTTGCAAACGCTGCCCTCCTCCCAGCGCCCAGCATGCCTGCCGGGCTTGCTTGCGTCTGGGAGACCCTACCTCGTGAGGGGCTTTCCCATGGCTTCCTCGGTAGCAGGAGCTTGGTGCCTTCGTGTATTTGTGTGACAGTGGACAAGTAGCCAGACCTCTCTGAGCCCCAGTTTCCTTGCATTAAAATAGAATAAAGTCTCTAGCTGAAGTGGTGGTTTTGAAAATTAATGCAGTGCCCTATAGGAAAGCAAATCCTATGCCTGACTTTGAGTGAGCAGCCAAAGGAAGAACCATCAGACTCTTGAGACTGTCTCGTGTTCTTTGATTCTGGGATGGGCCAGTCGGGAGGTATGTTCATGCAGTACTTCTGGGCTAATTTGATGCAAAGCTGTACTCCTCCTAAGGGAAACGTGGCGGATGCACACAGGACCATGGTGGGAAAGATCACACGTGGAAATCACTGTCACTCTACCCTGTGTGGTATCTAACACGCTTAAAAGTTAAGAGTCTCTAATACACACCTGGAAAGGGAAAATCCACAAATCCACACTTTACTGTTGCACCTCTCTGGAGCCTAAAAGATGGACCTGTTTGTTCAAAGGCCACTTATTGAGGGCTAGGTATTTCTAGCCTTCAAGTTAACATAAAGGTCAAATTGTGCAAAGAACAGAAAAGCTAATTTGAACTGGCAAAAAAACAAACAAAACTTGGAGGTAGACTCATGCTATTTAAAAGGCCACAGGTGGCTTCAGGCATGGCTGGATCCAGGGTCTAACCAATGCTATCAGAGTCCATTCTCTCTCCACTCTAGCCTCTACTTCCTTCTGTGTTGGTTTTATTTTTACACATGGCTTATTTTTTTGTGGTTACAGAGGGGTTGCAGGCAGCCCTAGGCTTATAGCCTCAGAGGGCAAGTAAAAGAATGAGGGCCCCTCTTTCAAGTTCAGCAAAGCTCCCCAAAACACATCTGATTGGCCCTGAGTGGGTCATAGGCTCATCCCTAAAATAATCACAGCATCCAGTGGTGGGTATGACGCTCTGGTTTAACTCCCTGGGTCAGGCTGGGGGTGAACCACACCCAACCCCAAGGATGGGAAGTGGGGTGGGTGAGTGCACCAAGGAAAACCAGGGAGCTTTTGCCAGAGAAAGAACAAATGAGGGCCGAGAGAGTAAGAAACAAACAGGCTTCTTCCAACAATGGCTTCTACACATCTGTGATGAAATTTTAGACCATCAAAACTGAGAACAGGCATTAATAAAGGCTTCGGGATTGGTCTGGTAGTTTTCAGGTGATTTTCATAGGCATATCAAACACTTGATGGGTAAAGAGAAAGGGTATCTCCAGGGTATTCCTAAAAGCTCCTTTTAAATAAGACAACTTACAAACCAGTGATACTAATTCATTAGTTTTAAAAAATGAAGAGGAAGGGGGCACCTGGGTGGCTCAGTCAGTTAAGCATCTGACTCTTGGTTTTGGCTCAGGTCGTGATCCCAGGGTCAGGCTCTGAGCTTAGTGTGGGGTCTGCTTGAGATTCTCTCTCCCTCTTCCTCTGCCCCTCCTGCTCATGCTTTCTCTCTCTCTCTCTAAAATGAATAAATCTTTAAAAAATAAATTTAAAAAATAAAAAATGAAGAGGAACAATCAGAGTATTCCCAGAGTAATATTCAAATAGGATAAATCTGCCTTCTGTGTTTGGCCATGCCCCTCTGTCACAATTCCCATCCTTCTTCCCAGGGCTGCCCACCAAAGGTGCAGGTACCTGTCCTCCCACACAGAGAGGTCAACCTCTCTGCCCAGTTTGAGCAGCATCTGCTTCTCAGCCTCCACCTCTCGTCTCCAGCACCCGGACGATGTTCCCTCCGGGGTAGTTGGCACAGACCATAATGTGGCAAAGAGGAATCCTGTAAAATTACGCGTGGCTGGCATTTTAGGAAAAGTCAGAAGAGTAGGTGCTGCATCATCTGGTGTCGGCCACCAGGAGGGGTGGGGACGTTGATGGGGGACACTGAGCGTGGATGGTGCTCCTGAGAAGTTGGACTTCCCAGCTCTTTGTGTTGCTGTTAGAAAAGCAGCAGACCATGCATCCACAGAGAAATGCTGGAGTTACGGAGTCAACCTTGAGATCTTGCAAGTAGAGAATCAGACCAGAGAAAAAGCTCTGCTGGATCAACTACCCACTGCAAGAAGAATCGATTAAGACTGGAGATGAAGGGGAGATGCCACCATCCTGGCACTGGTCCCGTGGATTTAGAAAAAGAATAGTAGGCATTAAAAATTATGTCCAGGATGGTGTGACTCAAAAACACATTCAGATCTAAGAACGTGGGGGAAAACTCAAATGTCCTAGGGGACACATTAATTAGAGCCCAGAAGATTACAGCTTTGCAGAGAAAAAGCAGAGAAGGAATGTCTGCACTGCTTCAGAAAGGTTGGATCAAAGATGGGCAGCAAGAAAATACTCAGTCCTGAAAGAGAGAAGAGAGGAGGGAAGCAAGCAAGTCAGCCTTCTTCATTTGAAGCTTGAGGGGGGAAAGAAAAGGAGCGAGAAAAGCATAAAGATCCCAGTAGAAAGCGGGATTGAAGAGGGAACAGCTGTTTAATAGGATGGAGTGCAACGTGGAAAACAGGTCATAAAAATGAGTTCAGCCGTGGAGTCTATTCTTACTTTGAAAGGACTCCAAGTTAAAGGCAAAGTTCAGGCATAAGTTAATTTTCTGCTATATCATATGTCTCCCCAAAATGCTCAGTCCTTATTAGCCTGTGTGTCCCCCAAATGCTCAGTCCTCGTTAGCACGGTTCCAGCACAAAGATGCATGATTCTCCTTTGACGTTCTAGACTCTCATTTTCTCTCCCTGCTTCGTGCCTCACGCCCCCTGCCCGTAAGTACCTGACCCCCAGCAGCCCCGTGGGCATCGGGGACTCCTCCCCACCACGCTGCACAGGGACCCAGCTGTCGCGGTGCTGGGGACAGAAGTCTGTTCCCACCCTGGAGGTGCTTACCTGCTGTGTTCTGTCACAGGACAGACGTCCATCCCTGGCATGCTCCTGCTGCAGCATCAGAACAGCATGTCCCCGTGTCCTGATTTTATTCATAAATACCATCCCCATCCAGCTCTCTGGCCGGAGCCTGAGCTCCTCGAGGGAAGACACCGTCTCTCACCACTTCTTCTTGTTCTCTTGCTCCACCGTCTCAACTCCTACTTGTGTCTGACACAACGGAGTCTTGGGGGCTCACACTTTTGGGGTAAGCCAAGAGATCTCCCATCACCTGCACACACAGTGGTTGAAATGAGGCTTCATTTCTGAAGGAACCACCTGTGGTTTAACAGACTGAAGCCCACCGTTCACTTCAGAGATGAGGAAACTGGTATCTAGGGTTGTAAACTAGAATGGGTTATAATACTAATTTTACTTCTAAATGGGGTTGAAGCTATTTGAGCCCAAAGCGTACATGCACTCACACTTACACGCTCATGCCTGCACTTGAGTTCCTGCGTGCGCACACTTACACCGTCATACACCGCCGTACCATGCGCTCACACACTCGCACTTGTGTGCTTACACACACATACTAGCACACTCTCAGATGCGTGCACACACATGTGCACACACACATGTCCCTGGGGGTGTCGAAGGCACACGCAGGGGATGCCGGACTTCCTTCTTCGTCATCATTACCGTTCCTGCTTTCCTGAGGGGAGGGACAGTGTTAATGCCACCACTGTGCAGAGCTCCCACCTGAGGCTCCGCCATCGGGGGCCTCGTCCTGATGCCGCAGCTCGGAGCTACAGATCCCCACACCAAATGACACTGTCACCCCCTTCCGAGGCACAGCTTCTGTCTCAAGAGAGAGGCATCTCCCGCACTTACGCACCTCTGCGTGTTCTCCTGTGATGCTCACAGAGCCACGGGCAGGCACGGCTCTACGGGGAGGAAGCCCCCCCAGTTCCACTGTTTGCTAGCTGTTTCCAGAACATGCCTCATGCATCTCACCGTCTTTGTCCCTGCCGTCCCTCCGCCTGGGACGTGCTTCTCTCCCCACCTCCCATTTGGCTTTAGAAGCTTCACCAAAACAAGGGATGCTCCTGCATGAAGCCCCGCCCCTGCCCCCCAAAGACTCTCCCCGCTGCAGACCGACCCTGACTCCCTGTGCTGCCACAGACAGCCCTTTCCTGCCACGGAGCAGGTGGTTTCTAAATATCTGGTCACATCCCTGTGTTAAGGCACGTGTCCCTCCTCGCTCCACTGACAGTTGACATACCTTGCCGTACATTCGCATACCTTGTTGTAAGGACCTTCATGACGGGAAACATTTCGGATACATTGCCTGTAGCACCTGGAGCTCTTAGCTCCGGCCTTCGATGTGGGAGACAGCACAAAATGCTTTCAAAAATTCAATTACACACAAATACTCAGATGCAAGTCTATTTGTTACCCCCAATAAGTACATACATTATTATGTTCCTTTAAACTGTATAATAAAAAGTTTGCTGCACTGAATTTTATATAATGAAATCAAATACAGCACAGAATGCAGGAATACTTCTTGCCCCATACTATTGAAAAATAGTCAATCAACTTATTTTTCAAAGGGTAGCATTATGATCCATAGAATCAGAAATAACCGTTATAATGAAAGCAATCATTTGCAATTTAAGGCAAAGGCAACCATTGTACAAAAAAAAAAAAAAGTTCTGCTGTTACACAGCATCATTATTTCATTATTTACAATTTAACAGACAAGTTGAATCGACCCATTTGAAAAAATCAACCAAGCCGCAGCCACGGCGACGGCATGGAGGAGCCAGACACAAAGAGAGGGGCTGTTGGCGGGGGGGGGTGGAGGGTTCGCTATGTCGGATGACGATTCGAGGGCCAGCACCAGCTCCTCCTCATCTTCATCCTTCAATCAATAAACCGAGAAAGAAACAAACACCCCCAAGAAGAAGGAGAGTAAAGTCAGCCTGAGCAAAAACTCCAAACTCCTGTCTACCAGCGCCAAGAGGATTCAGAAGGAACTGGCAGACATTACTTCAGACCCTCCACCTAACTTCAGTGCTGGTCCCAAAGGTGGTAACATCTATGAATGGAGATCAACCATTCTGGGGCCTCCAGGATCCGTGTATGAGGGTGGTGTATTCTTCCTTGATACCACTTTTATACCAGAATACCCCCTCAAGCCTCCAAAGGTTACATTTCGGACAAGGATCTATCACTGTCATATGAACAGTCAAGGAGTTATTTGCTTGGACATATTAAAAGATAACTGGAGTCCAGCACTAACCATTTCTAAAGTTCTCCTTCCCATCTGCTCCCTTCTTACAGACTGTAATCCTGCTGACACTTTGGTGGCACTTTGGGCGCCACTCAGTATATGACCAACAGAGCAGAACATGACAGAATGGCCAGACGGTGGACTAAGAGACACGCTACATAAATTGGGTTTTCACAATTCTTACATTATTTGTCTGTCACAGAGAGAGCTACTTATGATTTTGAAGGGGTGGGGGAGAGTGGGAGTTGGTAAAGAGTAGGGTATTTCTGTAACAGATACTATTCAGTCTTACTTCCTAAGATTTTGTTGTTAACTTAAGGTATCTTGCTACATTAGACAGAACTGGTAATAACAACTTTTAAAACTGTCATTAGATTTGCAATATTAGCTGAAGCATAGTACAGAGAGTAGACATTTGGGTTCACTTGCTTATAGTCTGTAAATTTAAAATAGCTTAATTTCGTACAGGTTATACCCATGGCCATTTATGTAGAGTCCTTCCAAGACTACACATTTTTTTGTTGTTGTTCAAAAAAATTGGAATTTGTTTTCCCTTCTTGGGAGGGAACATTGATATTTAACAGTTTTTAGAGACTGTCATCTCATATATATAAAATGGGTATGTGGCTATAAGACACCATATAGGAAATGAGTAGTTATGTATTTTATTTTATATGCCAATCTACTTTATTGTGACAAGATAAGAGGTTTGAATCATGACTTGTGAAAACCTGTAGTAAAATACCTTCAGCTGTTAACTGTAAGGTGTGGAATAGGAGTTGCTCAGTGGATTGGTTATATGTTGTGGACTACTTACGTCTGCATTTGTTACTGTGCTAATAAACAATATTAAAACAAAACAAAAAAAGAAAGAAAAAATCAACCAGAAATCTCAGCTGGTAAAGTAAGAGGAGGAAGGAATCTTAGGAGGAAGAGCAGATGGAGGGAGCAAGGCAGGCTGGAGAATGAGCCACAGCCTTCCCGCAGGCTGACACGTCCAGTGCCGTGTGCTCACTGCCTTCCTGACACCTCACACCTTAACTCCAGGTCGCTCACCTGGATGGATGTGGTTTTTTATCAGATCTCACAGCTCAGCCTAAATGGCCTGTCACCATGTGGTCTAACGGGCCAGAAAGTCAGGTGCATGGAGATAACCTTGCATTCACTTTCCCGTCTGCTAGACCGTGAGTTCCAGGCAGGCAGGGCGCTGGGCTCAGCCTGGAACTTGGAATGTTATAGGTGCTCAGTCAGCCTCGGTAGAGTAAACATGCTCTCCCCAAGCCATCAGGTGGTCAATGACAATCTTGGCCAATCCAAATTATTTATTTATTTGTTTGTTTGTTTGTTTGTTTGAAAGAGAGAGAATGAACAGGGGAAGAAGCAGAGGGACAAGGACAAGTAGACTCTGCTTGGGGCCAGATGTGGGGTTCGATCTCACGACCCTGAGATCATGACCTGAGCTGAAATCAAGAATCGGACGCTTCACTGACTGAGCCACCGAGGTGCCTCTTGGCCAGTCCAAATTTTTAAAACATCTCTAAAGCGTAGTAGGTCATATTAAGGAAGAAATTGGCTAGAGAGGAGGTAAAGTCAATTCGACCTTCAGCTCTGCTCCCTCAGCTTCTAGGGGCTGGCCTACGCTGCTGGCCCTCCAGCCCTCTGGCCGCACCTACCACCTCGGGCGGGGTTCTCCTTGTCCTGGCCTCCTGCCATGGACAGGTTCATTTCTTGGTCCTGTGGGAACATCTGTGGGAGCCAGTGTTGGGATCACAGCTCACATGCACCCTCTGCAGGGCTGCACTGCTGTCCATCCTGAAGGTCGCCCAAGGTCAAATGTCAGCTCTCCCCTGCTCCACTCCCCCTCAAAATGCCAAAATGTGCGAATCTAAACTCCTCGGCTCCCCTGGGCTCCCCTCCTACCTCTTCTCCATTAAAGGTCTAGCGCATCTCTGGCTCCTAAGCTTGGCCCCTGGTGACCTTTGATGACCCCTCTCCTGCTCCAGCCCCTGCAAGAGACAAGTGTTTCTTGTTCATATTTCCCCATCACCACCCTGGATCAACCCTTGCTCCAAGATTGTTTAATTGCCTCCCACCCGTGCTTCCTGCCTCCACCCTTCCCTTCACAGTCATCTTGCACATTCCAGAAGGTCATGTTTCAAAAACAGGGCTTGATCATAACAGAAGTCCTGCCACCTCTCTGCAGGCAAAGCCACATGGCTCCTATGGCCTCCAACTCAGAGGCTCTCGCTCCCTCCCACGCGTGTGCCCGCAGCTGTTCGCGGGCCACCTATTCCTGTCCCGATGCCCCACTGATCATGCCAGTCCTGGCGCCGGGCCAGCAAAACCAGAACAAACGGAGAAAGCCCTCCCTGGGTGTGGAAAGCAGCCCGATGCCGTGCGCGGCCCGGGTAGCGAGTGCTGTGCCGTGCGCATGCACAAAGCCGCCGGAGGAACCACGGAAGGGACGCAGATGCCGGGCCATCCTGAAGGTCGGCTGAGCGGAACCCTGCAGCTCATGCATCGGCCCGGAAGGTCGTTCGAGCCCGGGCGCGGCGGCGGGAACGGTGGCAGGCCGTTGGGTGGGAACACCGAGGAACGGAACACGGCCGTGGCCTGCGAGCAGCCTGTGTCCCACAAGCCGGAGAGCTGGGCACCCCTGGTTACGCGAAAGGAGCCTGGGGATTTGTAGAGGCTCCCGGGGTGGGGGAGGGGAAAGGCCGAGGAAAGGGGACAGCAAGAACAGAGGCCGCTCGGCCGGGAGTTTGAAGCGTGAGCTCGGAGGGTGTGGAACGGTGTGTGGTGAGGCCACAGTGCAGCCAAGGCCAAAGCCAAGGTGAAGGATGGAGGCAGAGAACAAAGCCCAAATCCTGTGACCTCCCCCTTCCTTCCGCGGCCCCCACCGTCCATCCGCGCACACCCTCATGTGTGTGTGGTGTTTGCACATCCTGACCTTTCTCTTCCCAGCTTTTGCTCCTTCAAGGCCATTCACCTGGCCTCCGTGCTCCCCACCCTCCCAAGTTCCTCCCATCCTCCAAAGTTCCTCCCATCCTCCAAAACTCCCCTCAGGGCCCACCGTTTCCCATGGGCGGTGGATGACCCTCCCTCGGTGGGCACCGGGCTGACCACCCAGCCTGTGGGTAGCCTTTGCATTCAGAACTCAGCCGTGCCCTCCTCAGAGGAGTCCTTGGTGCCCGAGGAGAGAGGGCCGCCCATCCGGCGTGGACACGGTCGAGGGAAGGGCTCGGGGGCCGGGTCCACCGGGGGCGTCCTGGCTGTGCCGCTGACCAGCTGGGTGACTGTGTGAGTGTCCAAGAGCCACCATAATGAGCCACCACACGCTTGGGGGCTGAGAGCCACAGAAGTGTATTCTCTCACGGTTCTCGGGGCCAGGAGTCTGAAGTCAAGGAGTCCGCAGCGTTGGAGGGGGGGTGCACCCCATGCTTCGCTTCTGACTCCTGGCGGTTACTGGCCACCGTTGGCCTGCCCTGGCTGGATTCAGAAGCCGGGCTCATGGGGCAGGAGAGCCTATGGAGTGACTGATAATGGGGACATGGGTTTTTTTGGGGGGTGGTGATGAAATTGTTCTAGAGTAAGTGGCGATGTTTGCATACCTCATTGAATGTACTAAAAATTGAATTGCCTGCTTAAAGAGTGAACTTAATGGTATGTTGAATCATTTCTCGATAAACTGTTCTTTGTAAAAAGGAGCCTGGCTCAGGGGGGTGGTGTCTTCATAAATCCTAGCTGCTATTATTATTATTGATGTGCCACTCACAACTACTATTAAAATCTTTTATAGTAGTCTAACATTTTACCTCTTTTGTCATATGCCTCCCAAACCCCGATATGATTACATTTGAAACGGGAACCATGGGTGAGATGTCTTTGTGGGTTCTACCAGAGCCTGCCTAGGGCTTCACACGTAGTAGGGGACAATGCAAATTTGTCTTGATCATACATGAGTAGTTCCCATGGAAATTACTTGTTGAGAGTAAGCCCTCCAGTGCTTGCGTGTTCACTAATCGCCGTGATCACCGTATCCAGCGTAGGTGAGGTGGGATATTGCTTTTACGCATGGGCTCCCCCAGGAAAGAGCTGAAATTAAATTTCATGCCAACCGCATTTCTAACTTATGATTGGCAGCCTGATACCTAGACCAAAAGTCTTTTTTCCAAGAAAATTCAATTAGCAGTTGAACATGGAGCTAGTCTGGATAATTCATATATTCTAATCATTACCTTATTACAGGTAGTCAAAATCCATGCCACTCTCCTGCTTGCCTGGGAGTAGTAAGAAAAATCGTAATAAGAACAACAACATTAAGCTGTGTTATTGCCTGATGCACCGTTGCTTTGGAGATTAAAAACTGAATTTTGAGAAAAACAAAACTTATCTCGAGGAAATACAGGCCTCCTGAGTTTTCACCTTGAAAGCTAACGAAGTCAATTTAAAATTTTAATAGATTCCTCTAAGTTTCTATTGAAGGAAAAACAAGATTTTAAAATTTAAAGTAAGGCTGCCTATTTTCTCTGGCTTTTTTTCTCCTCCATCATGCTCATCTTTGTCCAGGGCCCCAGCCCACTCTCAAAAGAGCCCTAGAGGGAGACAGGAAAGCAGAAGGGTTGAAAGGTACAGGGCTTGGGCACACAGGTCCCAGCACTGCCTCCAGCTGCCCAAGTGTCTTTGATGGTGGGGGTAATCGCCAGAGCTACAACGATGTGCAGGTCCACTCGGTGATAAATGCAAGGAGCACAGCCCGGGCAGAGCACCATCAGGGGTGGCCCTCATCACGCCCAACCCCCCCTTTCTCTTCTGCTTCCTCCTTTCACTACACTCAATTCACTGCCCGCCATGATGGCCGGTCCAGTATCCTCCAATATCCTCCCAGTCCTCTTACTCTCCCCCTAGAAAAGGTACCGGGGGTCTTCATTTTTCTGCCCCACTCTGGCAAGGGGAAAGAACCACAACCTCAAAGTCTGCTGGATTTAAATTCCATATTCCGAGATACTTCCAACTCCAAAGTTTACAACTAAATATCTTTAACATTCAACTTAAATCACACTCGCTTATCTAGCTTGGGGCCAGCAAGGGCTGTGAGAACATCAAAATTTTACATCTCAGAAACCCTGAATCCTTGAATTTTGTGTCCACTGTTGTTTCCAGCAATCTCTAGGGCTAAATGATTAATTATACCCACGACAGTCCAAAGCAATTATTTAATTAAGCTGTATTACAGGCTGCCAATTGTTTAGAGCAAAGGGAAAGCCTTCACCCCAGTTTCTCAACATCTGGCCTTTGGATGACTTAAAAGATAAAAGGAGATATGAGAACATTTTTCTGACTAAGTAACAATTTCTAAAAATTTTCCATTAAGTAGAAAAACTTTTTCAGTAATTTGTTTCTCATGATTAGAACTTGGTGACATGTTTTACTGTGAGTGTCCAGCTTACTTAACTCTAATGCAAAATAGAAAATGTTGCAGTATCAAATGAAATGTTGGTATCATCTTTGTTTTAGGGCAGGAAAGTCAGTTTTTTAGCAAATCCGTATTTTCCCTTCAAGTGTGTTTGTCTTCCGCATTCCCTTGGCCTATCATTTTTAAGTACTCTTTCTTAGTTTAGGCTATTTAAAATCAACTTTAATAAACAAAAATCCCATTACCCATTCCACACTTAGAAATCTAAGTTTTGTTTCATAAAGAACTTTTTCAGAAGAGAGATACAAGCCACCCCGACAGAATTGATGGCCAAAGTCATGTCTGTACAATCTACTGGAGACACACAAAGACATGAGTTGGGGCACAGGCATCCCAGGCATGATCTTTCTCTTTTCCTTAGTCTGTAACTTCATTACATAGGACTGGTGGAGTAACCTAGTTGAATAGCAATGAATTGAGTAGTGAGTGTTTGTTCACCAGTTGTGTTCAAAACACATATTTGACTCATTCAAACCTCTTCCTTCCATACTATTTGAGTATTGAAATTCCATCATTCTGTTAAAATCTAAGAGTGACTAAATATTCACCTATAAATGGGCCATCAATAAGCATAGGATGGTGCTTGCTTCTGCAGGACATATGCTACATTTGGAACGATAAGCATAGCACGAGTGAATGACTGAAATAAGCAATAATGAATGACAAAGAACATTTCACAAGGTCCCTCTTTTGGAAAAAGGCTCAGATTTTCTGAAGAAAACCAATGGAGCAACCACCTTTTTCAGCTATTTCTTAAGGATGAAGGCATACTCAAATTCTTGGGTTGAGGCAATATAAATTACGTGTTAGAACTACTGCCCTAAAACTGGAGCTCATGGACCTCATCCATAGTCCTGAATCTTCTGACGTTATCTGCAAAATACTGCAGATATACATACATGTGAATTTTTCAGAGGAGGGTATAAAAGCGTTCATGTCTCAAAAAAGGTTAAGGTTCACTATGTTCAGCATGTCTGTTTACAGTGCAATAAATCTCACACGAAAATGTGATGCATTTCTCTAGTGGAGAGATTGTGGTTGCCTTGCTAAAGAATGGAAGTCACTAGAAGCTTCCATTATTGTGTGGGAAGTCTTAAAGCTGCCAGCTTCCTATTACTCAAATTGCCGTTTCTCCAAAGAAAATCCTTCTTTCAATATCAAGAAGAGCCTTTTAAATTAAAGTACTTTCCTGTCCCACACTGGAAAAGAGAAACAAAAACCATCATGTAGGCCAATGTTCCCTATCACTTGAAGGAAGCTGACACCCCTAGGTTAGCGCTGCTCATTTCTGGGAAGCAGAACCGGGCCTGTCCTGCACCAGAAGGTCAGACATGCACTGTGGTCCGTGGCCTGAGGCCACTGTCTGTCTCTGCAAGGTGGAATGTTTAGCAAATTTGTCTGTTTTTTAAAAGAATTTATACTTTTATTCCCAAATTTAAAGTGACTTCAAAGGTTTCTTTCTTTCTTATTGTCATTCCCAGAAGTATATTTATCATATTACTGCTCTATTTCATATCAGGGAGTCATCAATGGCCAGTATGTGGGCAGATGTGTTATCAAAGCACAAGACCTTCCTGAAATTGTCAGGAATTTGGAATTTGGAGTAACATGTTAACAGAAGCCTAGTCCATGGACCTGCCCTCGTTAATAACAAAGAGGACAACTACCATTTAAGCACTGATTTATGGCCTCCACAGGGCTAAAAGTTTTAACTGGATGACATAGCAGCCCTGAAAACTAGGCATTATTACCTCATTTTCCAGGTAAGGAAACCAAGGTTCAAAGAGGTCAAGGTCACACAGCTGGAACTTACACCAGACTGCCAGACTCTGAAGGCCACCTCGCCAGCCTCAGGGCTGGGATGTCTCCCAGTGGTCTTGGCTCCTATGAGGAGTGATCCACCTTTAACCAAGTTAGAGCGGGGGGCAGAGCTCAGCCTTCAAGAAGCCATTCTAATGCTTTGTGCATCTACATTGCTTCCTTTATTCACAGCTCCCATAAATAAGTATAAGTTTATACTCAACCTGATATCAGAATCCTTTCAAATATTTAGGAAACATAGTTGATCAGGCTGAATAATTCACAAGCAAGAATTTTCCTTTAAAGAAAAAGATTTCCCTTCTGAATCACATCTGCTAATCCAGATAGAATTACTTTCTAAGCAGATGAAACATCTCTCAACTCTTTTTCCCAGAAATATATCTTAGAGAAGTAAAAAAATTATAAATCAAAATTAAAAAAGAAAAAAAACATAGAGGCCAAACACAGTCTATTCTTTACCGTAAAATATTTGAGACAAAACATTTCCCAAACTTGTTTTCAAAACATTCGCAAGATGAATCCATGCAAACATATGGCTCAGAAATGTCCTTCCCAATTAAAACCTGAGAATATAAATAAATTGGCTTTTCTCCTTGTATTTCTTCTCTCGTTAAGAACAGAGCCTTGGCCATAAACAAGAAACTACCCTTAAGATTATATATTTTTTCTTATTTCTTTTTCAACAGGGGACTTATTACATTTGAAAATAACACCTATATCTTGGAACCAATGAAAAATGAAATGAACACATACAAGCTCTTCCCGGTGGAGAACCTGAAGGGCACCTGGGGATCCTGTGGATCACAGCACAGCACGTCTGCGCTCGCTGCAGAGAACAGGCTCCGGCCACCCTCCCAGACGTGGGCAAGAAGGGTAGGGGGGAGATCAAGGTCACGAACCTGGGGAGTGGGGACTCTAGCTAGGGGCACCCAGGGCTAGTGCATCTGGAGAAATTTTGCCGCCTGGTTGTTGTGTCTGGGGTTGGAGTCCCCCGGTTTATCGAGTGGTTGCTACCATGTATGCAGAGCATCACCAAATACTGAAACCTCCATCATTGTTTGGCAAATGTCGGCCTCAGACTCATTAACCTACGCTGGGTAAAGTCTGGCTCAGAGGCCAGAAAATTACCATTCATTACATCGCCAGTGAGAAGCTACTGTGGGCCTAGACCCAGGGTTGCATCCCACCATTGCACCCATGATGATGAATAAGACGAGAATGGATCCTCACCTGCCTTTGGGCAGCTCTCCTTCCTCAGGAGGAGAAAGACAATATGGAGCCTTCTTCACTGGCAAGTCTGTTTTACAGTTAGGGTTTTTGTTCTGATTTGCATAGCATCCCCAGTCTTTGCCTGCGTGCCTGTCCGCGGTGAACAGAATGTTGGCCATGCAGTGTGGCTACGGAGTGTTGCTTACCCCAGTCCATGCTGCCCATGCTTGTCCTTCCTTCCTTCCCAAGATGGTCCAAGCACTCCTGTGTTTTCTGGCCACCTGCTCCTGGCTCTGCTCATCAAAGGTCTCTCCTTCTGCTTCAGAAGTGGGAAGAGTCATTACCTGATGGTGTCTGGGCCGCAGATCTCCTTCCCTGCTAAGCAGGCAGAAACACAGGGACTCCAATACCCTCTGGTGCAATATCATGAAACCTCCACCCCAAATGGCTGCGTGACCCTTTTATGTCCAGTATTATGTGGGCACCACAGGGCGCAGCAGAACACTCTTTTGTTTTTTTTAACGATTTTATTTATTTGAGAGAGAAAGTGAGTGAAAGAGAGAGAGAGAGAGAGAGAGAGCATGAGTGGGGGGAGGGGCAGAGGGAGCAAAAGCAGCAGGCTCCCCGCTGAGCAGGGAGCCCGAGGTGGGGCTCTGACCCCAGGACCCTGGGATCATGACCTGAGCCGAAGGCAGACGCTTAACGACTGAGCCACCCAGATGCCCTGCAGCAGAACACTCTTAAATAAAAGGAGTAAGGGTAGCCACATTTGGCTGGGGGCCCTAACTTTCAGTGAGTACAACCAGATAGGAAATTCCCAACAATTTCCTGATTTTTATCTCTGGCTTTCCTGTTCCTCTGTTGACAAGAAATCAGGATTTCATAGATATGATGTCAGTTGTGCTAACATTGGGTGGTCTAGGGACGTGTTCTTCAAGGTTGCACTTAAAAGACAGCACATTTTCTCTTTCCTGACTTGGAGTGTTCCGCTGCTTAACATTCAGCATTGCATATATATTATTCCTCTTTGTTCATTCCTCATCATTTTTATTCTGAGTTCAAACAGGAAATGTGATCGTAAATGATTTCTTCTCATTTGTAAAATTTCCCTCACACATGTGAATTGTGTTCCCCTAACCTTCGTTTTCATTTCGTTCATTCTTCCTGATCTGGTGTTCTGCCCGTGTGACCCTATTGTCCTCTATTTCTTATTATGCTTACAAGATTTTCTATGGCAGGGGCTTGCCACCTCTTTGCCCTTTCTTCCCTATCACACAGAAGAGGAGGAACCCCCGTCTGGGACGGTGACCCACCTTGACACTGATACTCAGGAGTGGAGACCCAGGGAGCAGAGCTTGAAAAATCCGCCCCCCCCACAATGAACAGTAGCTCAAAAGAGTTTCCATCCTGCCTTTCACCCCCCTCCCACCCATTTTAGAGTGACAGATTGAAGAGTTGGAATCACAAAGACCCGCCTCTGTGGTCCCAGGGCATGTTTATTTTACTCTTCAAGCACTCTCTTGCCTCCGATTCCAGACCTCTGAGAAGAAGTGATTAAGCTGTACGATTCCAGACCTCTGAGAAGAAGTGATTAAGCTGTAGCTTTTCCAGTCATAAACAAGGAGAACATTTGCATTTTGTTTTCAAGGCGCTTTGCTTTGAGCACCTTGTTGAATACACGTTACCCATGTTGTGAGATTTATAACGTGACAGTTTAAATGACATCCGAATACGTTTGCCATTTCATGTAGAAGTATGGGCTCGGTCTCTACTTGCCAGCCATATTTTAGTTCTTTAAGCTTCTGGCTTTCTAGAACTGTGCTTGGCACCGTAATTTCCAGTCATTCTGACTGGTAGAGGAGAGCGCAAAATGTGAATAACAATGTTGTTTTGTTAATAATGCATATTGGGGTGCAAATGAACCTTTAAAAAAGGGAAGGCAACAGCTCTGCCCTCAACATTTTTCTCTAGAAATAGTTGTGATTGTTTTAGTGGAAGAGAAAATATGACATAAAGTACATCTACATAATGAAAACTATATGAAACGTAATTTTTGAGTACGGGGACGACTAGGGGATTGGAACTGGAGACCACGTGGTTTGGGGTAGCGTCTCCGGTGAACGTGAAAGAGACACGTTCACGTTATGTGCAGCTTACCTGCTCACTCCCACCGCCTGATTTTATACTCAAAAAAAAAAAAAAAAAAAAATCAATGGAACTGCAGCTAGCTCCTCTTGTTTATGCAACAAGGCGGCCATACCCGCTTCCGCGAGCATCTTCTGCCCCCGCTAAATGTTAACTGGTGCAAAGACTGGTTTGCAGGCTGAGATTTTTCTGCAGATATTTGCGTTTCCCTTCCCAGAGCAGCAGGAATAAATCAGCACTCAGGGTATGCACGGGCAATAATACATGCTGGAGCTATTGTTTGCCATTTTTACAAGGCTCTACGTTAGATTTTAGTGAGAACCCAAGTCGCTCTGGAGGGGCGCCTGCAGTCACATGGCTTTGTAGTCCAATCCAACCTCTGCAGGTTCCCTGAGTCCGGCTCGCAGAGCCCCAGCCGCTCCGCTGGCCTGCGTCTCGCCACGCTCCTTCCCTCTCCACCAAGGAGCCGGGCGAGAACGCAGACTAGTTCTAACACTGGCCTGAGCCAGCTGTAGGCGAAGGCTTGGGAACTCTGCCACGGGAGAAAAATCACATAATGCATCCCAAAGGCAAATGTGAATTATGTTTGCGTCATCCTTCCTCTGGGGATCATCTGTGCTATATCGCTCCCCTCCGTTAGTGCAGGTGATTATGAGTCAAACGTAGAAGGCAGTACTTCCGGTAGGAAGCCGTGTTGGCTCAGGCTGCTGAGCCGGTCAGGGGGACACCGTTGTGTGTCCTCAAACGTAGCCGTTCTGAAATGGGCCGGTCTACGGCTTTTGATTTCTAGGCAGCCCCTCCTGTTTGGTAGGAGACACGTAATGGTGGCGCAGAGCCTGAGCGCTGAACATCGGGAACTGGCCACAGCCATGTGACCCCGCTAATTACAGCAGGCCTACCCAACGCCTCTCTGACATAATCATCTGCCGTCCACACCGCCTCTGAGAGACCGTATCAACCGCTCTCGCTGCCTTGGTTGCTCCTTCCTAGATCTTGCTGGTAGACAACAGAGGCAGAGTGATGGCCTCTTTGGCCCTGAGCTCTGAGGCTCCAAAATCTCCAGGTGTGGATTCCTATTGAGACTTAAGTCCAGTAAAACTCTGGATAAATAAATAGATCTCCCTGGTGCCATTGGCTTTGTGGACTCAACTTCAGTATTTCGCATTTGTCCCTATTAACGTTCAGTCCGTCAGACGGAGCCCCTTCCTCCAGCTAACCGTCTCTCTTTCGGGCTGCTCGTCCTGCCCAAGCATCAGCCGGGCCCCAGGGGCTGCATCGCACACAGGTGTGATCAGTGTGCTTCACACCCCCGCACAAGCCAGTGTCAGGATGGTGGAGAAGACCTGGCAGAGTAGGGACCCGGGGCTCAGCTCATAAATATTCATAAAGTGGCCTCAGAGTCCAGGCACCGAGCCTCTCGTGAGCAAACAACGACCCTTTTTTACTCAGGGGAAGATCAAACCAAACTTTGGATTTATTTAATTTGCTGATCTTGCCACCCACGGAAACGTGGGCCCTGGCTTCATTGATATTGATCTTTTGTTGATGGTTGCATCACACCCAACTGGAACCCGTTTGCCCATCTCCATGGTTCCTGTCCCAAACTGTCACCAGCAATCACCTGCACTCCTGGCTTCTGCTACTATCTTCCCATAATCCATTCTACCAGCAGCCAGAGTGCTATTTTTAAAACCTCCTGTGCAGGGGCTCCCTGGTGCTCTCAGGTCACTAGATGATCCTTCAGCCTCCTTGCCCCGTCCAAGGCTCATCCACACTCCTTCCTTCTGCTCTAGACCATGTAGCCATCCTGCCTGTTGCCACGACTCTCCACGTGCTCCCAGCCTCAGAACTTCTGCTGTGGCTATTCCATCTATCTGAACACTGTTCCCCGCACACATACCTACTTCTCATCCTCAGTTCGCAGCTGTCTTCGTCACACGCCCCCATCTTTATCCTCCTTGCAGAACACTGTTTATGTCTATTGTTTTGCCCCTTTTACAGGCTAAGATTTTTTTCGTTGATTCTTTATTGTCACCCTGTCTCCTAACCCCTCCCAGAATTCGAGCCTCATGAGCCTGGGACCTTGGGTTTCTTGTCCATCCCTCTATCCCCAGTACTCGACCTAGTGCCGAGTCACAGAGAGAGTGACAGTAGATATTTGTGGGGTGAGTAAATGATAGACACATAGTCTGGCCCAGATGAGGGAGGAGGTATGATAAGCGTTTATTGAAACCTTCATCTTAACTTGCTTTTCTGACTTGAGTTGGGTTGGGTTAAGTCCCCCGTGCCAGAGTTCTTGTTACAGCATGTCAGGGGATATTCTGTCTCTGGGAACTTGGCTGTGATGACTTCGAGAGGCCCAGGAACTGGTTCCCTCTTGAGCAAGACTCAGAGAACGCCTCGGTCTCCACCTTGGAATGGAGACTCTGTTGGGCCATTCTCAGAGGCTAATGTTCCTATCTGTTTGGGGAAGGGCTTTTGTTTATAACCCCAAAAATGAAAATTCAATCAAGCCACCAGTTTCAAATGTTGCTCTTCATATCAAAAATTTTAAATATATATATTTTTTTAACCGGACAGCCCAGATAGGTCGAAGTCATGTGGAGGTAATTTAAACCTCTCTGTGTGCCGCTGATGGAAGAATGAATGTTCGCGGCCATGAGCCGGCCCCTCCCCCATGGCTTTTTATTATTATGTGGTTAGGCTTCTCTCTGAGCTTGCATTTCTCTGAATTCATGAGAAAATTTGGACTTCTCTGAAAACTGCAGAGACAGGAAAATTGTGTTCATCTGTTTGTTTTCATTATCTGGAATTGTGTATTTTCTAAATGATGATCCAAGGCCACTGGGAAAAATCCCCTGGTCATTTATTTCACCCTTCGTGGTCTGAAAGGTGTAAACGTCTAAACAACCAAGGCCCTTTCTGCGGGTTTTTCAAGGGAAGATTAATTAGGTTTTTTTCTGTCACAGAGCTGTATGCTCTTTAGTATGATTAGCTGAATCTGTTCGTGGTTAATCGGGAAGTTGTGGGGCGGGGGACAAAGAGAGACATCTGCTTCTTTCACACCTCGAGAAGGAAAAGGGGCAAGATCTTCACCCCTCCAAAGGTGGCTCGTTCGGGGGACACCAGTGGGTACCACTGGGGTTCATCTTTTTTCCCTTATGAGTACATAGTTATCACCAGGAAGCACGCCTGGAGCATGTAGTCACCAACCTTGACTTTTTTTTTTCTCGTAACGTTGTAAAAGTATGAGAAATTATACCTTTCCTGGTGCTTTATTTTTCCCTTCTCCATAAGGTTTCCAGATTTCTTGAGGGATCCCTAAATTCATGAATCAGCACAGCTGGGCGGCGAGCAGGAACACTGCTATGATACAAACATTTTTCTTGTAAAAATCTGTTTGGAAGATCCCGGACTGATGGGGATTTGTCTTATAAAAGATGTTTCCCTCAGGATTATGTCACTGGAAAGCTGATTCAAAGCATGCCTCGGTCATTTTTGCTTTTGTCTGAAAGCGTGGTTAGAGCATGAGAGTTTTATACGGGGAGCAGTGTCGCTAACGCAAAAACCAGCCCATCGGCTGCAAGGACCAAGCCCACCTCAGCCCCCGTTTCCTCCAACGGCGTTTTATTGCAGAAACAGAAGGCTTTGTTTTTTGTTTTTAATGTTTGCTTTTTGAGACCACCCTCCATGAATTGCTCTTTTTCTCCTAAAAATGCCTTTGGGATTCTCCCAGTAATTCATGGAAGAGTGCAAATGTTTTTTGAGGAAACTTGATTAAAATGTAACCCACTTCAGAGGCTGCCTTTATTTCAGAGTGAGTTTTGCATCTTCTCCGTCCCTACCCCTTGATGTACAGTTTCCTTATTCCTCTCAACTATTTCACTCCCCCCCTCCATTCCCCTGCTCCGTGGCATTATAGTTCAGTCTTTTTTTTTTTTTTTTATTCTCAGTCTTTTTATTTTTTCTTAACACTGTTTCTTTCTATTCTGTCTCTTTTGTTTCTTTCTGGTTTTACTCCTAGCACCTCCTCCTCGCCTGACTCTGTTCCGTTTATCAGCTTGGCTGTTCCCTGTTCTCCAGACCACTATTGTCCTTTGCTTCTAACTAGATTTTTCAGCCACAAGAAATAAGCCACCTGAAGAGGACTATTTAGTGTTTCCCCAGAAGGATCATGCAGTTCCACTTCAAAATATATTCTCTTTCACTTTTCTCTTATCCCAACACTCGACCGTGAAGGGGAAAGCAACACACATAAGACACTGAATTCCATCATCTTCTGTAGGGATCTTCCTCTGTGCTACATGCAGCCCAAAACGAACGGCCATCAGCCTGCTCCTGTTCCAGACGTGCTTTGGTTTTGCTTGTGTATGTGCATGTTTCATTTAATAATGATCTTGACTCGTTCTGATCCCATGGTCGGTAATTCAGCAGGCAGGATTCCTTTTTAAGGATTTCCCATATGGAAAGGGAAACCGGTCACCCGTGTGGAGAAGGTTTGACAGAGGTCATTGGGGTTGGAAGTGAACTTCTAGAGGGAACAGAGGTGGGGCTGCTAGTGGTGGTGGTGAGGATAGTTTCCCCTTAGGCAAAGTGCTTGGGTTCAGAGATACAGACAGTCTTCTGGAAGCCCTGGAGAGGTGTGAAAAGAAATTAAATCCATGTTTACTTTTGGCAGCATAAAAGAGAGACCCTCAAGATGACCAAGTACGTAGAGCTGGTTATCGTAGCAGACAACCGGGAGGTAAGAACTTTTTCAAACTTCTCGGTACAGTTGGTTTAAAAAAAAAAATACGGGAAAGAAAATATTTAGCAAGTTATTACTTGCTCTGATTAACTTCATTTTCTATGAACCCTTAAAAGCATTGCAAACAACCTACTGAAAAAAGTGGTTTTCTGGTATTAGCATAAAATATTGCAAATGTATTTGATACTACAAAATAAAAAGCCAGGACTGCAGGAAAAGCAGAGCTATTCTGTAGCTAAGCTCTCCAAAAGGAATTATTTGGGGGAAGTGGCAGATGGCTTTAGACTGTATTCTGACACATTTGGGGGAGAAGTTTCATGTAAAATTGTCCGATACGTCCCGACCCAAAATGAATCGGAGAATCCAGGCTGCGTGCGGAGACATAGCAGAAAGACCCTATCTTCTGAAATCTGCTTTGATGCTAGGTTAGTTTTCTCTTGAATTAGTTTCCAATTCCCTGTTTTTAGATGGTCTTCTCTGCATTCATTCCTTGCCTCCACTCCATGTTATGAATTAGGTGACTTTTTCTCGTGAACTCACCCGCCCGACACCTATGAATGAAACCAGCTTGACGGTTGCTCAGAGAACCGTTCCCATGCAGGAAGGTCAGATTAGAGAGGAGAAGGGGGGCTCATTAACATTTCTCCCTTCTCTGCACTGTTTGACTTGGTGCCATGAGCTTCTATTACTTTTACTGTTTAATTTTTAGGAACATTTATATAAAGGAAATTTCTGAGGAAGTTAAAATCAAGTTGATGATATGAAAAATGGCTTTGGACTGCCTTCTCGTTGTCTGTTTTCTCTGCCAAAACATGTCACGGCCTCCATCATTTATGAGGCTGGAAAAATCACAGAAGTTACTGTCTTCTGAGCACTTGGCTTGAGCAAATTTCAGGGAGTTTCAGAAAGTCCCCAGACGGGGAAATTACTCGTCAGGATGGGAACTCGTTTCACTATAAACCAGGGAGGGTCCCGGGTGGTTTGTGGAGCTCAAGACTTCACGTTTCCAGGAGCTGGGAAGATGAGATTTGATTGATATTCTTGCCATTATTAATGCTGACATTTAAAATTATTAAGTTTCAGAGGCAAGGAAAAGATCTGGAAAAAGTTAAGCAGCGATTAATAGAGATCGCTAATCACGTTGACAAGGTAAGTTCTTTTTCGGGTAATTAAATCACTCAAAGCATGTAAATGTTTAGAAACGAGGTGGAGGGAATGGAACACACCTCGTCTGACTTGGCAGGGAGACCAGGTTCTGGTGCTGGGCTGGAACGTGGACTTCCCCTTTCCTCCGAGCACAGAATTCCCGGTCTGGAGCAGCTCCGGGAGAGGCCAACCCACGCACGCTGTCTGGACTGCGGTGGCCTTGGGCTACATCTCCCTCCAGGCTCTCTTCTGGCCAGAGTCCCAGTGTGAGGGCGTCTCAGGTTCCCCAGTTAGAGCCAGAACCCCAATAGGATGCATCTGACCCTCTGGAGAACTCCCAAGGGGGCTTTTCCCCAGGTCTCCCTGGGTTGTGTCCACAGTCCCCCTGAGGGCAGGCTGTCATTTATAAGTGACACACACAGGGGTCCACGGTCCTGAGACCCAGAAATTGGCTTTTGGTTCAATCAGCTGTTGGAAAATTGCTCACCAAGAATGAGGAGATTGGGAGCTTACCCTTGGCAAAGGTGATCCAGACCTGGAGGAAACCCCAGAAGTCTGGTCTAATCCCGGGAGTAGGAGCTCAGCGACACTCTTCATGCTACCTCTTTGCAAGGAGAGGGTGAAGCTGTCGGAGCACCTGCCCTCCCGCGGCATGCCTGCAGAACAGAGCTGTCAGGCTGTCTGGGGCTGAAGGCTCTCATACTTGCCTGCACATCGGAGTCACCTGGAAGCTTTCAAAGACATTGCTGCCCGGGTACCTTGGCAATCGGGGGGTTGTTAATAACTCGCACTGGTAGTTAAAGGACCATATACCTCAGAAAAGACCTGACAGACTCCTTGGAGTTGGCCAGCCTGGCTGCTCTTGTGTTTCTGGCCAGGAGAGAGCTGAATTGCTGAGCACATATGTGGCCACCCCAAGCAGACCCTGAAGACCATGCTGGGGGTACCCAGGCTCCTCCAGATGCTCTGTGCATCCAAGTCTGCTAACTGATGATGAGCCCTGGGCTCTGGCAGGTGTTCAAAAGTTCAGCTTTGCCCCTCTCCAAGTGGGAGTGTCTCGACCCCAAAACAATGACGGTTCCAGTGGCAACTTCCTCATTTGCAGAAATCTTGGCTCTCCTTGGCCATTCTGAATTAATAGCTGCTTGGCTGGCTGGGTTGGCCTGAAGGGAAGAGGGAGAAGGACATCCCAGACTGAAAGACCAGGAAGTCATTGAGTACAAAGGTGACATTCTGAAGCATCCAGGAAATTCCCCCTGTAAGTAAAACACGGAAAGCAGGTCTGATGCTCATAGCTGGAGGCAAAGCCTGTGTCTAGGAACTAAGAGGCGCTCCCCAGGTCCTGATTCACCTGCAGGGCGGAGCAGTGGAGGTGTGTGATCACCCAAGCTTTGCCTCTTTAACCTTTCACCTCCCACCTGTCCCACTTCGTATCCATTAAGAAGTTAGCACCAGCGGCAGATTCGCTGGCGCAGACCCTGTGACCTACTTCTGAAAGGGCTCAGCTTCCGTGCATTTAATTTCTTCGGGTGTTTTCCTGCTTGTGGGAGTCTTCTATCCTCCTCTCCTGAGCTGGTTGCCTGAAGGGTGCAAGTTCTCATGTCGGAGCCCACCAGGTCTTCTCTTTGCTCCCACTCAATTTTTTTTCAGATCCACTTCTTCCAGAAAGGCTTCCTTGAGCCCTCAGCACAGCACCCCGTGAACTTCCTGTTTGCACCCTTTCTTGGTAGTTCACTCTGTTGGAGTGAACTGTCACAATGGCTCAGTGTCCCCAGCCTTGAGCCTCTTGCTGACCTCTGAGCATTTGGGAGCCAAGGGCAAGGGCATCCTAATCCTTGTTCTCGGTGCCAGTGCCAAGCCTAGCATACAATAAGAGCCAAGCAAATGCCTGTTGCCACTGTGTTCATGGGTGAATCGATGCCACGGCTCTCGGGCTGCACCCCCCCATGTTCTGGGGTACGTGGACAGACAGGCAGCTGCCAGGCTCCTGTCCAGCTTCTCTCTGGGCCTGGGGTCACAGCGGGTCCTCTTGGAAGGGAGTCTGAGCACTTTTACAGGAGGGGTGTGCTACTTAGTGGTTTAAGACCTGGGTGCTGGGCCCGGGCTGCCTGCATCCACACCCCAGCCACGCCAGTCATGCCTCGAGCGGTTGCCTGATCCCTCCATAGCTCAGCGTCCCTGAGGACAAAATGGGGATATTGCTAGTTCTCGGCCCCGTTGGGCTGGGGTGCAGACTAACAGAGCTGCAGCCTGGAAAGTCCCCGGCACTGTGCCTCGGGCGTAGGAGAGGCTCACCGAGGGTCCGCCGTGGTTATTGTTATCAGCCGTCCACAGCCTGGGAAGAAGGCCCCCAGCGGGCAGGACAGGGATAGTGTCTGATGACTCAGCCGGAGTAGGGGCCTGACCGGTGTTCAGTGGCACCAACGGGGAGCGGAAGGAGCGTGCGTTACATACCGCCGTGTGAGGTCTGTCGCAAGGATGGGACCCGGGCGAGCTAACAGACAGAAATCATGACCCATCGTTTCATGAAAAGCTCCTCGGTTGGCAAGCACCAAGGCCAGCTCTGAGGGACCGTGCTGTACAGACCTTAGTTACCCCTTCCCTAGAATCCTTGTCGGAGGCAAACTCAGTGTCCCCTTCACAGATGACAACGTGAAGCCCACATGGGGCATCTGGCTCTGAGGTTATGGCTTGGTGAGCTGGTGTGGACATCGGCACTGGAGCGCCAACGTTTCTGCCTCCTGATCACTGTTACCTCTGTGCCTAACGCAGTGGGAAGTGTGGTCTCCCGGTCAAAGGGCAGCGGCCAGACATGGGCAGTCAGGGTTCCAGAAGAGTCCAGGAAGCTCATTCTGCCCGGGAAGCCTGGCCTGGGAGCTTGCAAGTCCATACGACAGACCGAGCAATTCTTGATTAAAAACAAGCCGTTGGGCAGCATTTAGGTCAGAGAATTGTCTCATTATTTTTTTTAAAAGATTTTATTTATTTATTCATGAGAGACAGAGAGAGAGAGAGAGGCAGAGGGAGAAGCAGGCTCCCAAGGAGCAGGGAGCCCAATGTGGGACTCGATCCCAGGACGCTGGGATCATGACCTGAGCCGAAGGCAGACGCTTAACCATCTGAGCCACCCAGGCGCCCTGTCTCATTAACTTATTAATGTAATGCCTGTAATTGTTATCTGCTTGAAGCCCAGTGGGACCGCTGCAGCCAGCTTACGTTCTGGGATATAGTGTGCATTCCAGTCATACTCATGGGCTAACCTAATGCTCACCAGATACTGAGGGGAGATCAGTGGGGAAAGCGATGAGCCTGCCTCCTGTGGGTCAGGATGGGGGTCAGATGCTGAGACTTGGGGAGTGTGTTGCCCGCTAGCTCACCACGTTGGAATGGGGCTTAACCATCCAATGAGGAGCCTCTGTGACTTTTATTACTTATTGGCCCAGATGCGTGTAGCATAAAAATGGGACCTGCTCACATCTGGAGCTTGACTTTGGCTGCCCCCATCAGCCACATCTTTCTCCTTGGCTACCTGGAGTATCAGCAAATGAGGACTTTCCCCCTGCCCATTGTGTACCGCCTCACCCATCATGGGCACTGGAAGATTTTACAGCCAGCCAGGTGATCCCATGTCCTCACCCCCTGGGCCCTGAGCACAGAGCCACCTCCTTGCTATAATGCACATGGCGGGCAGCAAAGTAGTTGGAGGCAACGGGTAGTTCCTCCCTCTGCCCTGACCAATCATCTTGTCCCGGACTAGACCCTCCCTTCGCCATTAGAAGAGCCGCTCTTCCTACCTCTGCCCCAGGATGATCTGCTTGTGGAGAAAGGGTTGTAGGTTGAAGCCAGGAGTATATAAAGATAGGAGACAGAATGGCAGTGAGACGATGCTTTGGTGATATACCTGAAGCTTGATTTCACAAGCCTATAAAAGAGGAACTTCCTTTAGAAGATCCTTCCCATGATGCCGCTTGTGAACTAACTTCTGGCTGTGAGGAAAATGCTTATTAAAGTTCCAGAAGAAAGGTTCTGCGTATGCCTTTATTATTCTGAAAGATAGTGATTTGTGCATTTAATTAAAACCTTCTAGGTTGATTATAAGGGATGGAACGTGATAGCGTCAGCCAAGTCTGAGTCTTTGCTGAAAAATTAATACAAATTCATTTTCAGTAACTCATAGGTAGAACATTTTGCTTTAAAGGAACAAATTATTGTCCTTGGCAGAGTGTCTGAAAGATCCTAATTCCCTCATTGTTTTTCCTGCAGTAGTTATTAACTGGCAGTCTTTGGGTATAATGTAACTACTTTAGAGATAGTACACATCTATATGCACATTTTAAATCACCAGTGAACCATGTGAAATGTGTGCTTCCCTACAAATAAGGGCAGACATCAAAAAGCCTATTAACTTCGGCGTCTAACCATTCAACAACAATGGAAACCCAGTTAACACATCACTTTGCATCAGACACTGCAAATATTTCTTAAATTCTAATGCCACAGGAACAAGGGAGCCCAGAGATATTTTTCTCACCCATGTCAGTGAAGTCCAAAACATGCAAATATGTTCTAGTCTGCATTTTAAGCTCTCATGAATGTGATCCCCAGAGGGTGCCTGTCTTCGTCAGTTTTACAGACCACTGAACATTCGGATAGTGCTGGTGGGCGTGGAGGTGTGGAATGACATCGACAAATGCTCTATAAGTCAGGACCCGTTCACAAGCCTCCATGAATTTCTGGACTGGAGAAAGATGAAGCTTCTACCTCGCAAATCGCATGACAATGCCCAGCTTATCAGGTATGGGGGTTCATTGTCTCTCCTTTGCCTAAAGAAAGAGCGACCTCAGCAGCCCTCTCTCCTCTTAGCTTCACCTGGCAGTCCCCAAAGCTGCACACCTCTCTGCAGACCACACTGACTTGTACAGGGGTGTTTCCCAGCCCACATCAGTGGGGAACATGCCATCCTGACCAAACTGGGGTTCTATTGGGAAAGTCTCCCTTTGAACCCCCGAGGAAACCTATTCCTCTAAGAGATGTCTTATTTTCTTTTTCCATCACCTGAACGTTTTCCTCTATGCAAATTTTTCTAGTCTTTGTCTTGATACAAAATTGTCCTGAATAGGCTATTTTAAAAAAAAGCTCATTTTCTTTCACTATTAGTGAAAAATGTTTATGCAAGATGTGAAGATGATGCATTAGGATGATTATTGCCAGATGCCTGGAGAAGGGAAATGTTCATCCCTCCTCCTGTTTCGCTGGGACTCTGGTTTTCTAGATTAGAGGACCCTAGCAGTCTGCATTCTTTCAATCAGTGTGTATTGAGCACCAGTCAGGAAGCAAATATGTTTTAGGTGCTTTGAATATAACGATGGCCAGCACTCTAAGCCTCCCCACTCTCGGGAGTCCCCGGTCCTCCGGGAGAAGGCAACTATCGCACTGTGTCATGAAGATAATAAAATGAGGGAAAGCACAGCTATAACATAATATACTGGGAAGATACTCAAACACCTTTATATTTAAAACAAAAAAAATCTTATCATAATCTAAATTGGTAAGGAGTAGATTTTTCCCAAGTGACAAACTTTTTATTAAGACCCTTAAACAGTTTATGCTATTATTCTTATGTTCTCATGTAGCTCATTTCACTGAATTGAAAGATTCGGGGTCAGAGACTTTTTTCTTTGGAAAATTATATCTAGTTTCTTAAAAATTCATAGAAAGGTGGGGCACGCCTTGGTGGCTCAGTCATCTGCTGTTGGCTCAGGCCATGATCTCAGGGTCCTAGGATGGAGCCCCGCTCCCTGCTCAGCAGAGAGTCTGCTTCTCTGTCCCCCTCTGCCCCTCCCCCTGTTTGTGTATGTGCTCTCTCTATCAAATAAATAAATAAAATCTTTTTAAAAATTATAGAAAGTTAAAAACCATTCTAACCCCATCCTCACTTTAGAAAATGTCTACATTTGAACTAAGGCTGTTGGCATTCCCTGATAATTTACTTTAGCCATTTTCACAGGGTTGTTTGGTTTTTTTTCCTGCCTTGGATATTTGGGGTTGCCTCATATTTTATGCATTGATTAATCCTGAACTACTTAAAGTACACTTTAGATATTTTGAGTCAGAGTATTTTGTTTTATTTTTTTTTTCCCAAATGGAGTCTGTCCAACTTGAACATCTGGAAATAAATTAGCCTCTTATATAACTTTATATATGTATATAATTATATCTGTTAAAATGGTCTATATAGATGTAAATATAAAATCTGTAACCCCAACTACTGTACATATGAGTATGACAGGATGGGATGGATGGATGGATATATATATATATATATATATATATATATATACACATATGTAGACAGATAAGGTTTTATATATACTTACTCCCTTTTGTTCAGTTGAACACTGTCAGAATAACTAACTTTTCGAACAGCATATATATAATCTAGGTATGTACGTGGCCAAGATAACATGAGCACATCATTTAAAGGAGATTCCCTTAAAGGAGATTCAACAAATATGAACAATGTTTAATTTTTAATGCGTGAGGGTCAAATTTACAGCACTTGCTTTAAACAGGGCTTCACGTCATTAGACTCATTGATCAGGTTAAGAATCCACATAGGGGAGAGCCTGCCCCTAAGCCACAACATCCCCTACTGGAACCTTCCTCCCGGGGTGCAGAGGCTTCCTCCTGGGTGGGTGCTTATCCTGCATTGGTTCCAGAGGGTCAGTCATTTTTCTGCCGGTTTCATTTTTGCCAGCTACGTTAGCAAGACACTTGAAAGAGTTTGGGTTTCTGGCCTAATTGTAAATTTACACAGGAAAACAAAATTCAGCTACAACAGAAAGTCTAGTAAACCACCACGTGCATTTCATTTAGTTACCAGTGATTCTCTGTGACTCTTCCCAGCACTTCCATCAGCAAATGTTTCGAAGGAGCAGCACCCTCCAATCCGTAGGAAATAGGCAGGATACAACTCATAAGTACAAAGGTCATGACTGGTCATGGTCTGGGTCTTGCAAACAAAAATCTGAAAGGATTATGGGACCACGATGCAAAAATACATTTGAGAGGAACTAAGGACACAAATCACCTGTAAACACACCCCACGTGGCTCTCTTCATTTTTGCATGGACCCTTGCTCTTCTTGTTGGAATGCAAGAATGGCCAAAAGAATTTCAAATGTTAGGAAATGCCCTCATTCTATATTAACTTAAGAAAGTTGTTTTTTTTTTTAATTTCCCAGTGGGGTTTATTTCCAAGGGACCACCATTGGCATGGCACCAATCATGAGCATGTGCACCGCAGAGCAGTCGGGAGGGATCGTCATGGTAAGTCAAGGGCACCAAGTTGCTGATAGCAATGTTCCACCCATTTCCCTGCATTTCTCCAGACAGCTCTACTTTTATCGGACTTTGTAAAATTAGGCATTTTCTTTCATGCTTCTTATACGTAATTCTACCTTTCTCTAGTTCTATTTATGGTCTTCTATATCCCAAAATATATTAGGGACTGTTTATAAAAAAAACCACATCAAGTCGTACACAGGTAAGGTGAGTGTGTAAAAATAACTCAGTGGAAGCCTGTCTGCCCCTTTCATGGAGAAAAAGTTTCAACTGGGATTTTGATCAAAGCATTCCAATCCAGGATTCGCGCCCCCCCCCCCCAAGCATTGAGATGAACCAGGGCACTGGGGTTGCCCCTCATCAGTCAGTTTCTTAGATGGACTGTGGTCTCACCAAACATTACTACCAGAATGATTTTCTGATGGTTCTGTCTCCAGGCCCAACAGCCAAAAATCTTAGGTTTTTGACTACCACTGCAGATGCTTGATCTACCTCCTACCTGGTGTCCAATTTGTCTTCATAATAACGTTAATCTTGGAAGGCAGATACCTAGGTTTATTGCTTCATAAGGATAATTCTGTCATTTTGGGGCTCTACATGTTTATAAAGGGAACAAAAGTGGAAGAATATTTGGGACTTGTTTCTTATGAAGTTAAGAGGGAAATAGCTTTGATACACTGCCCAACAGGGGACTCCTGCTCCATTCCATCAGTTAATTAAAGAAAAGGTTTCACCTCATGCTGGCACCGTCCCTGCTCTGAAAATGCAGTGTCCCCTTTGCACCAGCCCTCAGACAAGGAGTATTCTCACAGACTACTCTGACATCTCCATTAAACAAACAGAACGTTGCCCTTCTAGGAAACCATGATTTCCTCCACCTTTTTTTTTCAAACAGAACATTTCTGAATACCCCATTGTATTAAGGAGCAAAAGGAGTAACGTTCTGCTGACTATTATTTTCCTTCCACATAGTGCCCGACCTAATCTTCTTAGTGAATATACACAACAAATGTTTTCCTCTTCTCTGATAAGTGTTGTTAATTCATATAAATATGCACTAAACATACAAGCTGAAGTAGCCATTTGGGAGGATAGCACCCACTCTGGATTTCTGGCTTGAACGAGCTACCCTCTGGTTTTCTTTGGACCTATGAGCCCTGTATGTGATCCCCACTATGAAAGTCATTGGAAAGATTGGTTTTTGTTGGTGCCAGGTTAATTTCAAGTCAGATCCCAACTGTGTTTTTACAGAGCAGCCTGTAAAATTTTAAGAGGGAATAATTTTCTGTTTCATGGTTCCATGGTCAGTTGCTACTGACTTTGCCACTTAAAATGGGTGTAAATATTTTTTAGAGCCGAAACTAAATTCCTTATAAGTATGGCAGGTTCTTCTGTTTGGAGAGTTTAAACATTTTTATAACCATTCTGATCATAGTAAGTGGCTTTCTTCAGCTTGTGTCCCTCATTCCGTTTCCATAGAAGCACTTGATCAAGATTCCTTCTTTAAAAGTATACAGAAAAGCCTATTTTTTTAAATGGATGAAGACAAATGTGGGAAAACCAGCAAATATGTGTACTGCAGTGGTAATCAAGTCAAGACCAAAGTCAATCAACAGGAAATATGTTTGACCAACTTGGCAGCAGTTAGACACATCCTTTGTTTACTCCACATATGAGGGAAGCATCAAGTAGGACAAAAGTCTACAGCCCCTTTAATTCTATAAAGTTCATGAGATAAATGAGATCCATCTCTTGACCAGACCTAAAACTTCTAGATGAACTTTCTCCTGTTATGTCTCTAAAATTAAATTCACGGTTGTTCCATGTGACCATGCCCCCATTCAAGGACTCACAAGTCTAGGAGGAAGGAAATCGTGTAGCAAGGAAGCAGGAATCCAATCAAATTGAAAAGATGAGTTCCTCTACTGGTTCTCTGTTTTTTTAAGATGGAGCAAATCTTTGCTTTAGCAACTTAAAGCTATGCCCTTATATCTAACTGGACTAGAACAGCCTTGGTTTGGGGATTATGCCATAAATAAAGAAATAGGGGTTTTTTTTTTTTCTTATTACAAATGTAAACTGTTGATCAGGGTCTCTTGCGAGATAGTCTGTTCATAATCACTTATCCGTGAAGAATGTAAAACAACTTGGCAATTAAAAACAAACCCAAGATATTCAGTGATACAAAAGAATCAAATAAAGAATAATTTTTAAAGGACGAAGTCCTTGAATTTTGTGCCAAAATATGCTAAATTCAGCCCTCCACATTCTTAGGTTGGCTACATTCTCTTTGCCAACCTGTGTTATTCTTGAGAATTGATTTCCTGAAACAAATTTGTGAAGCTTCCTACAACAGGAAACTGTAAAATCTAAACAAAGTAATTTATTAGGAATTTCATCTATTCTAAGAATAACTTGGTCCCTTGATGTGCTGTTCCCTTCTGAGACTCAGGGCTAGGGAGAGAGGCAGCTACAGCTATAACGAGCAACAGCCTATATAATCTTTCATGCTCATGCCTTTAGAAGAGGCCCCACAAAGATTATCTGAATCAGGAATGATGCTTTCTCCAAAACCCAGTATCACTGTTTCCTGGAAGTTTCTTGGAAAACCTCTTATCTCTTTCCTGGGTAGCGCAAAGCAGTATTTGAATAAAGTACCTTCATTGCTCTGTGGTGGGCAGGCCTTTTCAGAAACGCCACCAATGGTCACAACTCTATGGTCAACTAATGTTTGACAAAGCAGGAAAGAATATCCAGTGGAAAAAAAGACAGTCTCTTCAACAAATGGTGTTGGGAAAACTGGACAGCAATATGCAGAAGAATGAAACTGGACCCTTTCTTACACCATACACAGAAATTAATTCAAAATGGATGAAAAACCCAAATGTGAGACAGGAAACCATCAAAATACTAGAGAACACAGACAGCAACCGCTGTGACCTTGGCCATAGCAATGTCTTACTTGACATATCTCCAGGGGCAAGGGAAACAAAAGCAAAAATGAACTATTGGGACTTCATCAAGATGAAAAGCTTCGGCACAGTGAAGGAAACTGTCAACAAACTAAAAGGCAACCTAGATATTTGCAAATGACATATCGGATAAAGGGCTAGTATCCAAAATCTGTTAAGAACTTATCAAACTCAACACCCCAAAAATAAATAATCCAGTTAAGAAATGGGCAGAAGACATGAACAGACATTTCTCCAAAGAAGACATACAGATGGCCAACAGACACATGAAAAAAAATGCTCAGCATCACTCATCATCAGGAAAATACAAATCAAAACCACAATGAGATACCACCTCACACTGGTCAGAATGGCTAAAATGAACAACACAGGAAACAACAGATGTTGGTAAGGATGCGGAGAAAGGGGAACCCTCTTATACTGTTGGTGGGAATGCAAACTGGTGCAGCCACTCTGGGAAACAGTATGGAGGTTCCTCAAGAAGTTGAAAGTAGAGCTACCCTACAACCTAGCAATTCACTACTAGGTATTTATCCAAAGGATACAAAAATAGTGATTCGAAGGGGCACGTGCACCCCAATGTTTATAGCAGCACTATCAACAATAGCCAAATTATGGAAAGAGCCCAAATGTCCATCAACTGATGAACAGAAAAAGGAGTGATAGGAATACTACTCAGCCATCAAAAAGAATGAAACCTTGCCATTTGCAATAACATGGATGGAACTAGAGGGTATTATGCTAAGTGAAATAAGTCAGTCAGAGAAAGACAAATACCGTATGATTTCACTTATATGTGGAACTTAGGAAACAAAACAGATGAACAAAGGAGAAAAGAAAGAAAAATAAAATAAGGTCAAAATAGAGACTCTTAACTATAGAGAACAAACTGAGGATTGCTGGAGGGGAGGTGGGTGGGGAGAAGGGCTAAATGGGTGATGCGCATTAAGGAGGGCACTTGATGTAATGAGCACTGGGTGTTATATGTAAGTGATGAATCACTAAATTCTACTCCTGAAACAAACCAAAAAAATGGGCATAATTTCTGCAAATCCCATTTAATAATTAACTAATTTTAGTTTGTTAAAATTAAGTAACAATACTTTAATAATTAGTATTTAATAATTTAGTAATACTATTTTAAGTAACAATAATCTCTAATATCTATTCATCTAAACCATCCATGCACTTCATTAAATTAGGGGTGGCCACGCAATGCTCGCTGAATGGAGAGACCATCTTCCAAAACCCATCAAAGAGTTGAGCAAACCCCCAGCACCAACAGTCAGAGAATCAGGGTGCTTCTACCCATCTCCGAGATCTACTTGACAAAACAAGGAGCCAGCAAGAGTGAGCCATACCTGGATACAATCCTAATTCATTGAGTCTTCAAACAGATTACTCAATGTGGCAAGCTTCTTTTGTGAATTATTGTGAATTTTCCAAGTATCCTTCTAAGTAGACAGGAAGGGCGTGTTCAGTAGCCCCCGCTCAGGTCTTATTTAGAATGTCACAAAGTATGCTTTCCCCTCCCAACTTTTCATCAGCCTCATCTCCTTCGAGGATAAAATGGTACTTTTTTTCGAGCCACCCAGGAGCCCCAAGAAAGATGTTTTGTAAGTGACTGCAGGTAAGAGAATAGAGATGATTGCCTTGAGCATTTCATGTAAAGACATAAAGAGTCCTACCTGTGTTCATGACGAATGCATTCCTCTGCAGAAGGGACCCTGAGCTGGTTTCGTAAAATAGGTCACATCTCTTATTTACGTTTGAACTAAATAATGGGACTCTGTGTTTGTTCCTTATAGGGGTTGGATTCGGTCAGATGTTAAAAGACCAGTGGTGGGGGAGAGAGGTGGACGGGGCGGAGGAAAAGGCCAAGGAGAGGTGAACTATACATTGCGCTCTTGTGTTTGCTTTGAGGACCATTCCGACAGCCCCCTGGGCGCCGCCGTGACCCTGGCCCATGAGCTGGGCCACAACTTCGGAATGAACCACGACACACTGGAGCGAGGCTGTGGCTGCAGTGTGGCCGCTGACAAAGGAGGCTGCATCATGAACCCCTCCACCGGGCAAGTACCCACGGTCCAGCCGCTTTCAGAGTTGCCACAGGGTGAATTGCATGTTGGGAAACTGCTAAGCAAAAATCTCCCTGGTTTTCTGGCCAGACCACCCATGGAAACTTCCAGAAGGAAATCCCTTTCTAAGTAGACAGCCTACAGCTCCACTGCCCCCGCGAGCCAAGGGCCGAGAAAACTCACTGGGCAAAGGGGGCAGGGTTAGATGGGTCACATGGCCTTCAGAGGGTGTGGGCTGGGGAGTGCTTCTTCCCTTGGGCTTGGCCCCAAGGCCATGGCCGGCAGTATCTGAAGTGCATCAGTAGGGGGAGGGGGGGCCTGCGGCATTCCTGCCTCTGAGGCATCACCTTACAGGATCCGAGAGGTTTAAATGAAGTGACTTCTCTGTGTCAGTAAATCACGCTGTTCCTCCCTTTGGAATGCCTTTCTGAAACTCGAGACTTGGTTCGCCCAGGGGAAAAGGAAGACAGTTTCATTAAGGGAGCATTCAAATGAGGTGGAAAGAGATGCCACGTGGAGTGATTGAGTACAGATTCCGATAACATCCTGATGCCTTCACCGGCCCGGCCCAAACCAGAGCGCTGTGCTAATGTGGGGAGATTTTCATTAGGAAAGGAGAACGCGCACTTGTTACGATCTTCTTTTTTTTATACCCTGAGTGAGACCTTCCCAACACTTCTCTTCAAGGCACTTCCCAGGTGAGGCCTGCTCTCTGGGTTTGCTGGAAGGAAATGCTGGAGCAGGAAGCAAGTACTGGCTGGCAGCCCAAAGACTGGCCTCTGGGAAGACCTGCTGGCAAGGGGCCAGTCCTGGTGTGAGGAGGGGACACCTGCTAGAGGTGTAAAGGGATGGATTGTTACAGAATGTGGTTATGTTTCTGCAAGCAATAGCTCTGGGGGGCTCCTCTCAAATGGCTCCTTGGGCATCACATTGCCCCTGAAACAAAGACTGGGCAGAAGGGCACGGCTCACACCCTGGACGTTGTCATGCCTAAGGCTGTTCTTGAGGCACCTCACTGTTACCTTATTAGCAAGTGACTGCTTGAATTCATCGCCACCATTAGCACAGAGTCTTCGGAGAGCATCTTTTTTTGCTCCTGGTTCTGTCTTAAGCAAGATTCAAGGGAGTTACCAAGACCCAGTCGAGGGATTTGCTCTGAGTCTGAGATAACTGAAGCCAGGAACCGGAGCCTGAAGTGAGAGTATCTTAGGCCAACACCAACAGGAAGTGAAATATTATAAAACCCTAGATACTGACCAGGGAGCTCCCCAAAGGGAGGCTACTCTGAGAAAGTGGGTGCTCCTTGTCATTTAAACTGTTCAGGCAGAGGCAAGATAATTATTTAGGGGGCATTTGGGGCAAAGAATTCCTTTTTAGGGTGTGAGGTTGGGCCAGGGGCCTGTAGGTGTCTTCTTTTTCCAGTATCCTACCAGGCCAGACAGAGCCCCGCAACACTGGCCAGCATGCCATGCGAATCTCAATGAGGTTGGTAGGAAGTTAACATACAGCTGAGTGGTGCTCATGCTTTCTCATTCTTGATGAACTCGAAGTGGCCACAGAAAATTCACTGTTTGCTAAATTTCCCTGCTTATCAAATAGACACAAACACATCAGCTTACATGCCTCCGGAAGTGGTTCCCAATGACTACTATCATGAATGTTTTGGAACTCTTGATAAAATTGGCAAATGAAAGAGAAGAAAATCTAGATTGGGAACACTAGAGTAGGATTGAGAAGCCCTGGGAGCCCCTATTCTGATACCAACTGTTTTGGGTAATACAGGCAAAGGAGTAACCCCTCTGGTCTTAACCAATCTTCATCAAGAAAATGAGTGAGTTCGTCTTTTTCCTTCCTTCCTTCCATCCATCTATCCATCCCTTGATTCATATTCATTCTGTCTATCCATCCATCTATCCATCCAATTATTCACTGTTCATTCCATCCATCCATCCATCCATCCATCCATCCATCCATCCATCCATCCATCTTTTCATCAGATCATCTATACATCCACCTTCCACTTACTTGTTCACATAGTCAACACATTTTTTTACCCCCTGTGCTTATTGTCATGGGGAATGCACAGATGAGGAAGACCCTACAGCTCTAAGAATTATGTGATTCTGGAGGCACAGTAGCAAGACCTACCTTCTGACACTCCCCATAATTTTGTATAAAGGTCTTCAAATTGGAAAGTCGTCATGGCAGTGTTTAAGGATATGAGCCAAATTACCCTGGAGATATTTGAAAATCATAGGTAGAAGCGGTACTGTTAAGAGCTCAGCAAATCATTTCAAAGGCGTTTTTTTTTCCTTACCAGGAGTTTGCTAATAGCCTTTACTTGATTTATACCTTATTAGCAATTTCTAAGTTTTCTCTTTTGCTGAGCTTGTGCTTTTGCATAAATCTTTTCTATTTGGTTCTCATTTATGATCCCACATTCCTGAACAGAGAGTGGTGTTTTTAATTTTCTCAGATGGAAAGAAACTTCCCAAGCAAGTGGGTGAATTAATCACAAAAGCCCACAGTGAGGGGGAGGTCAGGCCGCCCAGGCAACCCTCAGCCATCCATCACCCATTGTAGAACTTCTGGGCTGCTTTTAATCTGCAGTATTATCCCAACGTGGTCTCTCTCTTACCTCATAGGGTCCCCTCGAGAGCGGCAGAGTGGATTAAATGAGATCACATGTCTTTGTAAATTGTAAATCACTCCACACATACATGGCAGCACGATTACTGCTATTATTTAGCTCGCAGGGACTAAATCATTGAGGGCGTCTTCCAGAATCCCTGCTCGTAGTTGCTGGAAAGCACCTCCAGCACCTCAAAACAGTCACTGAGCCACGCGCCCACAGTCTGTGTGAAGGGCTCGTTGTAGGCTGGCCCTTGGCCAAACACCAACCTTCCCCCTGACTTCCTCTGCACTACTGATTTCAGGCACGAGCAGCAAACGTTCAAAATGTTATTCAAGTCTTAGCCTCGAAGGGGGCTCAAAAAGAGGTGAATCGTGATTGCTTTCATGATCTTTAGGTCTCCCCGAATCAAAAAGGACCAAGCATTGCCGATGGTTGAAAGGGGGAAAGCGCAGCCCTTAATATGCCCAATGTATTCTTTATCAAGACATTCCAGAATTCTAACTCTGAAATATTCACCACCTGCCTGTCGTTGACAAATGGGACTTGAAGCCCCGGGAGAACCACACTAGCGTGCACTCCTGCTTAAATGCGGTGTCGTGACGTCCGCGGGAGCTTGCAGGGGTGGTCGGAGGGGGGTTCCTTACAGGTTGGACCGTTAATTACCGCAAGGCCTGGAGTGTGTGCGAGCATGTGTTTTCTGTCTTCGCTTAGTTCACATGAAGACCCGCCTTGGAAATCACTCTTTGGCAAAAGCAGTATCTGGGAATTCGTGTGGGAGTTGACTCAGTGGAGTCCACCCGTAAATGAGCTGCTTGGAGCATTTGGGCTGAAAGGGTTGAGGACGAAGCATGCAGCATTTATAGGAGTAAGAAAAATGTGAATAGTTTGAACACATTTGGAAAAGGATATTTAGCATAATTGTAAATGTCACTTCCCAGAGTGGACCCCCAAAAAAAGCAGTATTGGCATTCACAAAGTACTCTCAGGGCTTCCTTTATTTTTTGCAGGAAGTTTTCTGTTAGCAAGAGTTGGAGGAAGGGAGCCTGTTGTGGAAGGAACGCAGCTGAGTCTGGGACGCATGCTAACCCGGCTGCTGCGAGGTCTCACGTGCCCTCGTACATGGCGGGGTGACAGCCAGGAACAGGACACTCTTCTTACCTCGTGGAACTTGCACACTCTGGGGGAAGACAGACTTCAAAAACAATACATTGAAAATCGCAGGTTAAAGAGCAGTGCTTTGAAGGACACAAAGAAAGAGGTTGGAAAGGAAACATATGGGCCAGGGGCCCCACTTTAATTAGGGGCTTGGGGAGGAGCCCTCTTGGAGGTGACCTTTAAGAAAAGACCAAAGTGCTGACTGGAGGCCAGGGGCTTGTCGGGGGCTGGGTCACGATGGGGGTGGGGCCTGGAGGGCACAGGTTGCTGGTGCTGCTGGAGACAAAGGGGGTTGGGAGGAGCCAAGGCCAGCAAAGCCCAGTCCACCAGGTAGGAACACGGTTTTGTCCCGAGGGCAGTGAGAAGTCTTTGGAGGGTTTTAGGCAGGACAGTAATCTGATCTGACTTAACCTTTCAGGCTTTCTTCCCTTCTAAGATCACCAGCATCCAAGCTATGATAGCTTGCCAAATTAAGGGGTTTGTGTCTATTTTAAAAAGGCAGGGTGTGCTTCTTGTAAAAAAAAAAAAAAAGAAGTCAAAGTGATGGGCTATAAATTCTAGTTTTATTTTCATGTAATTAATAGGCATTTGGAATTCAAGGAGAAGGGTCCTTCTTCAGCACACCAGGTGGTGCATCATACACACCTCACACCCTCGCCTCTCCAGGCTTGCATACTTGATGTACAAAGTGCTATTCTGTTTAGGATTTCACTTTGCTGTTTCTACAGTAAACATCCTTTAAGGACTCGACTTCAAAGAGCCATGGAAGAGCCTTTTCGCACTCCCTGTGTGTGTGTGTGTGTGTGTGTGTGTGTGTGTGTGTATCTGAAAGGAATTACTGCATAGTTTTCATGCTCTTGCTAAGATTAGGGGTTTGGAGCTATTTGGGTTTTGTTTCATCCAGGCTGGCAAACAGCTCCTGAGCAAAGAATGTTCCGTGGCTGGCAACGGAGAGTGGAGAGCAGTGTGTTGCGCACCCAGGATAACGCAGGCTAAGGAAATCACGGGAGGGTGACCCCTTGCTCTCCAGTGGTGTAAAGAATTTACATTAAGCTGAGGTTGGACGTTCAGGAATAACATCTACAACTGGATCAAATAACCATGTTTAAGCAGAAAGCATTGCTATGCGACATCCTCAGAAGTTTGTATAATTGGCTCATTCAGTGCCATTTAATTCAATTCAGGAAACATTCATTGCATACCT